CATCGCGTTTTCTATTCCGTTAAATTAAAACTAATTGCACAGCGGGTCCGGGAACGATGTCCGAGAGTGCCTATAATAATAACCAGTACGACGGCGATTTTTTTTTTTCTCTGTCCATTACGATCATTGTTATTAGTATTATTAATTGTTGTTATACGGTGCGTGTGGACGCGTGCGTTGCGTATGGACGGACGTCCAGTCGCATTGTTCCGAACACCATTGGCATTGCGGTCGTGTTGATAAAACGGACCGCGCCCAGAGAAGGAAACGCGGAAGACCCGTACCCGGAGTGAGACGGAGTGAGACGGTTATTGGCCGGTCGCGGGAGGAATACGATTGGGGGGTGTTTTCAACTCGCGCCGCGTGGCCGTCGTGTGTTGATTCGCCGGTGGACCGCGTCCATCCGATCTACGACGGCCGCTGCAGATCGCGGCGCGATCACGGCGCAGCGCCGACTACAACGTGAACTAATGGCGACCGTTTTCACGGCGGAACAGAAAAAAGTGTGAAAATGTGTTCGGTCATCCGCGGCGTCGCCACCGACTGTCGCTGTCCTTCTCGCCCGACGCTTGTCCACGGACACCGTGCAGACGCGTGGCGAGGAGGGCGCAGCCCGTTTTCGTAAAGTATATAAAGTCATGTCTACGGTTCCGGGTCGCGACACGATTACGGTGTCGGCCGCACAGTACCCTGCGTAGGCAGGCATAAAAAGAAGAAGGAAAAAAATACCGACGCAACGAATGGACCTGGCCGTTCCGGCAGTGATTTCTCCCGGCGGGCGCGGCGGGACCCCGGACGCGTAAAAATTCGATTAATAATACGGAATACGAGCGAAATGCCGACGTACAGCATCAGAACGTGCATGATATTTCATTATTGTTTGGCGGAGAAAATAAAAAAGGAAAAAAATCGCGATATACGCGCGCGTTTGATTTTATTGTTTCGCAGTACGCACGCGTGCACATATTGTATTGGTACGCGGCGCAAATCGTTTGACGATTACCGTTTCGTAAGAAAAGAGTTTCTTTTCTTTTTTTTTTTTTTTTTCGTACAGCGCCGTACGCAAAATTACATTATGCGAATAATTGTTCAGCCATTACCACGTCCGAATACACAATGACAGTGTGATTATTAAAACATATACGCGATTATTGAGTTATGTNTTTTACGATTCGTCCGCAAAACACGGCCGACGATGATGCGACGACGTACGATCTCGAATTTATTATCTCCTCCTCACGCCCCCTCGCCCCCCGTAAACCACGCCGTCGACAACATCATATGTACAATCATCGTTACGACGGAATCGGTATTGCGGACCGGTCTATGCGGTCGTGCGACGATTTAATGTTATTATTATTAAAATTTTTTTTTTTTTTTTTTTTTCGTACAGCGCCGTACGCAAAATTACATTATGCGAATAATTGTTCAGCCATTACCACGTCCGAATACACAATGACAGTGTGATTATTAAAACATATACGCGATTATTGAGTTATGTCGGTAAAATATCACCGTTCCGAAGTATAAATTATCTATCGCAAAAGTGTACGTTTAGAGTGTATAATAATTTTAACGAACGGCACGGTTTTTTTCTTCATCCAATTTTCTCATTGAAAGCAATACGTTCATGAAAAACGGCAATTAATTTACCGCGAAGACGGCCCGCGCATAATATTATTATTCCAAACGTCCGATCTCATAATTCCGTATAATATTTTCCGGTTTTTATTATGTAAAATAAATCAAACGCGTATTTGGCTCTTTTTTTTTTTTTTAGTGTTCGTCGTATTTTCAAATTGACGGCTTTCGGCACAAAGTTTATACGGAAAAACCCCGCGTTCGTCCGAATCCGAGTTGAATATTACGACTGCACGTTTATAATACTGATGCATCGCATAGTTTAATACAGTTTGATTAGAACCGATTGGGCATAACTGACCAAATCCCCGGTCAATTATTTAGTGTTATAAGCATAAGTCCATGCTTATAACACTCATGTCATTACTTTAAAAACTATCGAAATCTGTAGTTAGAAATGAAAAATTATTTTTTTTTTAAAACATTTTTTATGAAATGTACGTATAAATTTACATATTTATATATACAAAAAAAATCATGCAATGAAGTGATAACGTGTATTTTGCCCATTTTGTTTTTTCTGCAAATTTAGCTGTTTTTTTTTTTTTTTTGTACATAAACACCCCGTCCTGATAATGATGACGTGTAGTGCGCAGTGCAGAATGTACAATACCGATTTTTTTTAAATAATATTATTGTAATATAATCCGCCACGGTAGAATTTTTTTCGCAAAAATATAATAAGAACAAAGACGAAAACAATATAGGTATTATAATTATTACTTTACCAACGGTATTCATATTATAAAACAGAAGGTGTATAGTAGGAACTTTATTATATTATTTGCAGGTTTACATATTACAATACCGAACACGAATATATAAGGTATTCATTGGGTATACGGGCATAACATTTCAAGAACCGTTCGTTTCGAATTGTTTCGACACCCTCCCCGTTTTCAGTCTCGAGTGATCATATCGAGTTCGCTAAATAAACTCGCTTGAATAGCAGGTATACTAAAATAATTCAATCGTGATGTATGTAGGTATATCTATATACCATACTTAAGTACTAAACTCTGCTGTACTTTTCGTTCGTGTCATTTTCGTTTTGAACGTATTTTATAATTATTTATTTCAAAACGATTTTATTTTATCGTAAAAAGAAGATTATTTTTAATATTTCATTGAAAATGTAATATGGAAATCATTTCAATAAGTTTATTACATTTCGCGTACAATTTATACAGGTATATATATTTGGTATACGTCAGTATTAATGTATAATATTATTATAAGTGTAGTAATACGAGTGCGCGTAAAATAAACTAATTGAATTGCCAAAAGAAATAAAAAAAAATATACAGTCACCGTAAATACAAATAATAATAAATAATTTAATATTAAACAATTTTTTTTTAGGTAATTTTATTTGTTCAGTATATAGGTATTTAGATACGTTGAAAAATACAAATATTATATCAATATTTGTCATTTATTTGTCGAAATGTATAGTACAATTTTAAGTATACTGTATTGGTAGGTGTCAACGAATGAAAACCATCGTAAATTAAAACGTTTTAAAAATTAATTTTCACAAATAACTGTAGGTGTTTTAAGGCAATGAATTTATAGTTATAAAATAATAATTATTTTTCGTTTTTAGTATCGGTTATTTAGAATTAATTCATATTGCGTTGTCGCGGAATTTCTTTAGATTATATTATATTTTAACACTACTAGAAATTCCCCTTTATTTCATGTTAGTACGTATATAAGTACGCATAGGATAGTTTTACGAAAATAGAATAACCGCAAGTGTCGCATGTCCGCGATTCCAATGCCAGATGATGTTTTTAGATCTGACGCTGTTTTTTATTTTAACAACTGCAGTACCGTTCAATAGCATAAAATGCACGAACTTCACGCATTGCCCTTTTAAATCTATACCTGTATAGACGTAATAGCATTCCTGCAGTGTGCGTGTGTGTGTATACAGTATTATATATTTCGATTCCAAAGCGTTTTAAAACCGAAATCTCGGATTTTTATATCTAATCTAGGCGATATTTTTAATTAATATATTAGAAAGCGTCATCTGGGCAAATTTTCTTGTTTCAAAACTTCTTTAATCACGCGACACAAGCTATGCAGTATTGTACAACGTAAAGTTTTGCATTATATGCATAGATTTTTAAGTACCTATATAATATGTACTTATATTATGTACATAGCCGAATTAAATATATTGGGCGGGCCATAAACAAACAAGTCAGACAAGCTCAATTTAAACTCGTTAAACATATTAAATTAATAATATTTTACATGAAAAACCAATTAAACAAATACTTGCAGTGTACCTATAATCTATATTTTATGTGAAATCCATCCCGCCAGGAGAAAGAGAGCGGACAAATTAACAAATAACATGATTTACGAGTATACATTTTATTTAGTATTATAATAATTGATAAAAATCATGTGAAATTGAAAAAAAAAAATCACAAACAGATAATAACTGCCATCATTGATTGCATGTAAATATTTTGTGTATCAACGGACCGTTTTATTTATTGGCCATACAATATTCATCTTAGAATAAACATCATTTATAATATTTAGCTGTTCAGACAATTCTTTTGAATGATATTTCGAATCGATAAGTTAGATCTAACATTTATTTTTTTTTAAGTTTTTCTATATTTTTTCTGGAAGATTTCGGCGCACTTCGACTATAAATGGAACTTAATTATTTTAATTTTTAGTTTATATGTTGTTTGTAGGGAAACTATATTATTATCAACATTGGATTTTAAAGTATTTTCTAATACACGGGTAGATAGTTTTGTAATATTTTATGTTCCTTACCTTTTAATAGTAGTGTTTGAATAACTTAACCTACTTCTGAAATGCTCCGTAAATACTATTTCTTAATTTTAACTCAATACTATTATTGTTGCAACTATATATATCCGTAACATCGCCTCAATTGCATGTCGATTAAAATATACCTACTAATTACTAATAGTTCTATCTACTACACATTAGTTACATTCAGAAAATGTCCCTTCTGAAGTAATATTGTATTTATAATAACGAGTATATGTATAATATATTTCATTACGGTGATTAATTATTTTATGTTTACTTCGTTTGTTAACAATAAAATAATCAACCTTGAAGTATCCTTGGATAATTGCCAAATAGTTTTTTCTCTGGTTACAGCATCTACCTACCTACTCAAGTTTAACCACTCATAATATAATAATGTTTAAAGGCTTTTTTTGACTTTTAATCAAGAGATTTTTTTTACCGGGTGTGTAATTTTTACAATTTTACTGATGTGATTAATATAATATTATTTATAATTTATGTATCGATTTAATAATATCAGAAAATACGCGTGATGAAAAACCGAGTTGCTGTGACCCGTAGATCCGAACTTGTGTCACAAAATGTTTAATATCACAAGCTCGTTTCTAGAGGACACAGTTACCCCGGTACCAACATTCGCCAAACACAAAAAAAAAAATATATTAATATTTGCGTTTATATACTTGTTATTGTGGTATTAACTGTTAAAAACATTATTGTAAAACTGATAATATGCATAAAAAGCGGTTACATAATATAATTAAACATTGTTACCTATATAGTTATAGTTTATAGGTTAGTATAATATTAAAGTATTATATTTAAATAAATTTAATTGCCATATATGTGTCGTAATTCCTTACCAAATTTTAAATAATGTAACATAAGTTTTTATCTTTTAATTATTAATAGTATTATATAGTAGCGATGTGAATTGCACTATTACCAATAGACATATTAGAACTTAAGTAAATATCGCGTTTATATAGGTACCTAGTATCTACCCATATAATCTATATATTATAATATAATGTCTGTAGGTACTCAGAAAAACAAAAAAACAAAAACTACTTACTTAAAAAATATTCAAGTGTCTATTTACAAACCTCTACTCGTATAATATAGTTAATTCTATTATTTTATAGATGCATAGGTATTACAGTAGAAACCGCTTATTAGAAACACTTTGGGACCGAGGTGAAACGTGTCAATTAACCGATTGTTTCTAATAAACGATTGGTTTTAATATACGACCGGTCCGTCCCTATACATTTTATTTCAATAACGGGATTGTATCAATTATCTGTGTTCCTATTTATGAATATAGGCTTTTTATGAATATAGGTACCATAAAATTAATTTATATAACATTATTGCATTTATACCATTTATATTTTTTTATACATAGGCAGACATTAGTTACCTACTGATAATAACAAACATAATTTATGTACATAAATTACAGTAACAAAATTATAACTTTCAAATTATATTGTTTGATTTACTAATACTTTTAAAACCTGCGTTTAGTAATTTTACCTTTAAATGCATTTTAAATTCAAAATTATGTCTTATACAATCACGTACCAAGAATTTTTTAACGGAGTGGAGTGCATAGTAAATGCAAATTATATATAATAATGCCCCCTCCCCCCGGTGACTAGTTTCATATATTATTATGTATCTAGTTGATCTGATGGATTTAGCGGAGATAAGTGTTAAGTTGTTTTATGTGATAAAAGAATTCCTAAATGAGACCTTAATTTCTACAAGAATATGGTGATGCTGATTATATTGTATGGTTCGGAGTGTTGGGTGGTAGATAGAAAAGTAGAACAGAGAATAAGTGTAGTGGAAATAAAAAGGCTTAGGTGGACGAGTGGAGTAGTGAGAGAAAATAGTATAAGGAACAAATACATAAAAAAAAGTGTAGGCCTGATTTCGATAGTAAATAAAATGAGAGAAAATAAATTGAAATGGTTGGATGCAATCGATAATGAAATGAGGATGGCTGATTTATCAAGTGGATGTTTATGACGAGGGTGCTCGACTCCAAATAGTTGGGCGAAGGAGAAAAGGAGGATTTACATGCCTATGATTTAGCAGTAACAAATAATAAATAATAATATTCCATATGAAACAAAGTTTATAACATTATGATTTAATGTTTTCAGTATCATAATATTATTCATAATTATCTGAATCCATTTAAATATATTACCGAACGGATTTGATACATTTTTTTTTAGGCCTTGAGAGCAGAGAGGAATGTATTGGTTTTACTAATATGATGTGTTTTTTTTTGTATCAGTAAAAAAATGTTCTACTAGAAATATTGCTCCGATAGTGTAGTATCTGTTTTGAAAACTAATTGTATCTAGTTAATGTATCGATGAGGTAATTTTTTGATATTTCTTGCAGTTTTCTTAATAATTGGAAAAACTGGAAAGCTATTACGGCAATAACAGTTTTGTTATTTTTAATTTTATTTTTTTTCTGAAATTGGGTAAAAGTAACCGTAGAGACCTAAAACTTTTACAGAATACTTATATTTTTTTTTTTTAGATGTGGTATAATTTTGAGTTATTTATAGGCATTTGACATTTTTTTAGTATTTTTTATTTATTTTTATGTGGATACAATTGTTTTGACCGAACAGAAATACTTGAAAATTGAACGTAATTTATTTTTAAAAAGTATATTAATTTTATATGTTGATGAAAATCATAAAAATTAAGACCTTTTAAAACATGTTTAATGTTTATCTGAATTTCACTTAAAATCTTGTTTTGTAATTATTTTACCATAATATAATGAGTAATGATATATATATATATATATATTGTTGACAAACCAAACTGCGTTCAGAATCATTTTTTGGTCAACAATGATTAATCGTCGCTTACAGATATGCATTCAATTTCCCCTCTTTTATCTTCTCAACACCTATACGGTTGTTGTACCCATTCCCATTAGCCTATAGGACAGCTTTTTTTTTTATTTACTGTAATATACGAGTATAAATACAACCGATAAGAAATTATGAATGAGATAGATGGGTCAATATGCCAAGTTATTTAAAAATAGATTATAATTTAAAACAAAAATATAGGTATTTTTCTTTTGATAGATTACCGATTATTTTTACTAGTTATGAAAAATGCAAAATTAATCATTAAATTATGCATTTAAGCAAAAAATAGCATCAAAAATTGAAAAATAGCACTAAAAATCTAAAATACTCAAGTATCCAAAAAACAGTTACATATAATTTTATATTGAAAGTCTGATGCATAAAATAAATGTTAAGCTCCCTCTGCTATTATTATCTTTATCTTATAATAATTAGCAAATGCTATAAAATCCGCATCCTGGTTATCAGTTATCACACACGTATTTTGATAACTCATATCATTTCTAAACACGAATATTTGTAGGATAATAGTTATAATGTTGCGCAAATTATTATCTATGAACTATAAGACATATGCTAGCCCACCTGATGATTTTTGTTATCATAATATTAAAAGTGCAAACAACATTTTAAAAAAGTGAACTTTTAAGTATTTGTATGTGATTTTCGTAGAATGTTCCTATAGTTTTTTTGAGTACTTTATGTTGATTATGATTAAAATACAATGGTAAAAATTTAAACATATTCGACTAAAAATTAGAACACGCAAATAATTAGAATAATAAATATTTGGGAAAAAAAAAAAAAAAGTGTATATAAAGCAACTTTTAGGAAGGTAAGTAACCGTATAACTTGATTCAGTTATTAAAGAACTAAAATCGAGTTAAATGTAATCGTATTAGTTGAGCTTTAATTTTTTTTTTAATTAATAGATAATAGGTACCTAATAAGAGTAGATATTGATACCTACGCAATATTCTTTGTTTCATGTATCGAATAAATTGATAAGTGTAATACATACGTATGTATACCGACAGGGATATCGACGAATATTGTAAGAATCTTTTATATTATCGCTCATGTTATTGTTAATCAATATAATTCCTATTTTCAACGATTTATTTAAACACAACGTTAATTTATTAAAAATAATTATAAATTATTATTTTCAGGTGTGTTATTCCGGGTACAAGATTACAAGCTGACAAGAGTGAGGTAGTTGGTTGTATAGTAGTTGAAATTTGACTTATACTATACAATCGGCTAACTTTTCTTCTGTTACGCTAACTTATCTACACGAAAAATGGGCTGCGGACACAGCGATGAAAAAACCAAAGGCCAAATTAAATTTAGTATCGCGTAAAAGCATCGAATTTGTATTATGTAATTATACTAATAATGTATTCTGTATAGTATTAACAGTTCATAACTATATTAAATTATATAAATACTAAATAATTAGTTTTATACTCGTATGTTTGATTTACGGTGAATAATTGTTATTATAGAAGATAGAGTGTTGATAGTCTAAGTCTAAGTTTTATATAAATGGGACTAGAATGAAATGCCAGGTTATTGAATTTCATAAAACAAAAATTAAACTGAACCAGAATAACCTGCAGGAGCTTTATTAGGTAGTCGAAATTATTATTATTTTTTTTTTTATTATTTATTGAATATTTACAATCTATACAGTTTGTTATAAACTGGCAACGGAAGGTTTTTTATATTTTTGAATGTTTTCTGATTTGTTTGATTTCCCTATAATATATTGAGTGTTTTACACTTGCGATCGAATATGGCATAATAATCGTATAAACCCGGGTTTTATTGAACGAATATTTTACGGGTAATGTAAATCTCTTCAAAGTACAAAAAAAATAAAATATATAAGAGACCGAATTACTACTGGACCGGAGTTAGATTATTGAACGTGTCATATTATTGCATGGCTGGATTACCGAGAATTGTTTTCCTTTCGGATGGTTTCACTAATTGTGGGGGCTGCTTTTGCATTTCTTCCCTCGACAAAGGCTTTATACTGTATTATTATAGGTTATCCAACCATATATTGTTATATTTATAAATTAGTTATCCTATTAATTTATTGTCACAATATTCACGAAAATTGCTACGCGTTATATATACTATCAAATTTTAAAACGAAATGATTATTTTTTCAAATAGTAACAGAACTTGTTTAAATAGTATATAAAAGTTATGTACCTAAGAAGCTAATGATGAGGAATTAAGTGGCTTCAACTCGCCATTCCTATTGGCCGAATTAAAATTCATAAAAACAATAATAATCTCTAGAGTCCGAATTTTTCTTAGCTTATTTTGTATTACAGAAAAATTTCTTTGAAAAACAATAGTTATCATAATATTATAATAATACTATAAATTGACTGCTTAAAAAAAAAATGACGAAATCTGACTTTATAAAAATGGTAGGGATCAGCGTTAAAAGTTTAATTACCCTCACAAGTACGTATTTCGTATTAATTTTCAGGGGGGGGGGGGTTAAAATATTTTTAATACATGAACCTGTAGTTATAGTCTTTGTTATATTATAAATATATACCTACTTTAATAATTTCGGTAGGGAGTTGAACTCTTAACCCCCCCCCCACTGTAAAAAGGCTTGTTCCCAATGACACATCCTTGATACTAACTTAATGGATATACAAAATGTCATTCCCTGGCTTCATTCAGAGAGTCTGTAGGGATGTTTAACGCTAAACTTACTGTTTTCCCGTAACAATATAGTAAAATTCGTGTTGAAATTTAACCAATCCGCCTGTAAAACAATTCGTCTTTAATTCTCGAGTTCGAGTTCATTCAGCTCAAAGAGAGTAGCTATCATTGTATCCTAAGCTACCGAGGAAAAGATAAATATAACAGACTCAATACAGTGCAATATTTTCTGGAAAATTTGATTAAAATATCTTAAACTATTCAGCATTTAATAATATATTACTAAAACAAAATATAATATTTGCATTTGTGTACATTTACATTATCAACTCAATTGAGTACAAATAAATACACAATTATGTATTTTGTAAAATAACCTTGAGTTAAAGATATAATCGTTACTAAGATTCAGATATATTTTAAATTCCGAGCCTAGCGAGGGGCTATTGGTTTTACAATGCTGTTATTTATTTATTTTTTCTCTTCTTATTTGTTCTGGTCTGCGAACAAGTTAATTCCTAGTAAACTGCCTCTGATTTAGAAGTATAGCACCGTTTCTGAAAGCTCAAGTTGTCTTTATGGTACTTTAAACAGGTCATTTTTTGATTTTTGACGTCATTTTTTAAAAAAGCACTTAAGTGGAAAAAAATGAGGGAAAACGTACAAATTTACGATTTCATTATTTTATAAAAACACGGACGATGTTTTTTACGAAAAAAAAAAAAAAAGATTAAATCGAAAAATCATAAAACACTTTTTTTCTTGTCTTTTTTATTTAATTTCTATACCAGTATCATCGCCAAAACTTTTGAGCTTTTAAGGAATTTTATTTTTTGGGAGTTTTTTTGGTGTAATTCGATTATAAATACACGTAGAGACTTGAAACTTGATAATAATACTTATATTGGACTTACCTAGCCGTGGTAAAATTTTTAAAACCATCGGGCGACTTTATTTCTTTGTTTTTATTTTCTTACAGTGACACTATTTTTTTTTGTTATACTGTAGACCACTTTCATCCTAGAAAACTTGATTCGATGTATAAGTTTAGTATCTTTTCTAAAAGTAAATTTTATCTACTTGGTAAATGCATAGGTCATTTTTTGATTTTCGCAATGGTATTTATAATATAAACGTTTAACCGGGAAAAAAATACGATTTTTTCACGATTTCGTTGTTTTATATAAGTACCTACCATGTTTTCTAGCACAAATATGGCTCCAATTGAAAAACGACAAAAGACATTTTTTGTTGAATTATTAATCTTGTTTTTAATGATGTAGTTCGTTTTTTTGATTTTTGAATTAGTTTTCATAATAGTCGGGAAAAAACGTAGAAAGGTTAGATTAAAAAAAAAAGACACTTCAAATTATGTATTACCGAACTGCGTTCGAAATCGTCTTTCGTCAGCAATGGTTTATCGTTGCTTACAGATATAAATGAAATTCCCTTATGTATTTTACCTTCCCAACTTTTCACCAACAATAGTGGCCGCTCTCATCCCCTGTATCAGTTTCTTTTTTTATGTTTTACTTGCATTACAAAATATTAACAGGTTTATAATTTTAATTTTTATGTTAAGCCACAAATCCGGCTCTTTGGTTCAAAAATACAATGTACCTACTCCTTCAATTTGTCTTACTATGGTATTCTTAAATATGGCTAGCGAATTTTTTTATTATCTTCACATAGTTTCAACTTGAAGTTTGTCATAAAAAAAAATATATAAGTATGAATTTTAGTTTTCTTCTAAATCTCAAAAAATTAACCATATTTATAAAAATGTAATAAAATTAAAATACATTAACATTCAAATTTTGTTTTAATTCATCCATCAATTTAATAAAAATATCTTCAATAATTTTTATAGTTTTAAACCGAAATTATAATATTTTAGTCTTATACATTTTGTTTCTTAGTTATTTAAGTTATTGTAATTGCTTCCAACCAGAATACCTTGATACACATTCGTAGTAGATACTCTATTCAGTAGTATTTATTTTAGTACTCCAATTTAAAAATGAATGATTTGTTTTGTGTTCTAATGATTTTTAACCAGATTTTTTTATTTAGAAGTTTCTTGAAAATCACCTTGATACTTTTTAGCTTAAGGATGAAATTTTTTATGACAATCTTTTTCTTTTAATCAACGTAATAATATAGAAGCAATAAATCAAATTAAATCATATACTCATCATATTATTTAATTTTACAATAGTTAACGGGAATTGTATTTTATTTTTTTAATGGATTTAATTGCTATAATTTTATAACTAATAAAAACTTATAAAACTTTTAATACGAACTTTAGATTTCGTATTACATACAAAAATAGGCTCTGTCCTAGTGCTTTCCCCCCCTCATTGAAAAATTCTGAGTGTGCTACTGAATAATGATGTAGTACTTATAATAGTAATAATTTATTTTTTCGGTCAGGTTAACAATTATTATACACTCTTTTTTTCTAATTATTTTTTACAATAACTTTGACAATGTTAACCACTGAGGAATTTTTTGATTATATAGGAGAAACTAACCTAAACTACAAATATATGCAAAAAAAAAAAAAAATAATTATAATACAAATGTATATAATGATAGATATTACAGTGTATTCAATTATTTAAATTCTATAGATATTTTTTTGGTTAAATACAAAAAAATTAAAGCAATGATTTCCATTGCTCGAATAAAATATAAATAAATAAAGATAAACTTAAATATAAGAATTTAAAAAAGTAAAATATAATTTCATTTTTTTTAATTAAATATAAATTCTACAAGACTTTTTCCAAATTAGTACAATATAAAAACGTATACGATTCTAAACCAAATGCTAAATTGAATGTATGGTATTTAATTAAAGTAACGCATATAATCATTGTTTTATTAATATCTTAAATGTGTATAAGGATTTACAGTTCTTTATATCATTGAGTACTTTACTTAATAATTTGAGTCCACATTGCACAAAATATCGACTTATTTTACTAGAGTGTGTTCAGGGTATTATTAGATCATTTTCGGAAAGTATATTGTAGTTGTTGTGTGTATAATTTATCGTTTTAAGTTTAAATATTATGTATTGGAAGGATTTGCTATAATATTAATGTTGAATTATTAAGTACATTCAAATCTTTAAATAATTGACCTAATGGATAGGTTTTAGGCTTTTTTAGAATTGTTTTAATTTTGTTTTTTTGCGCTATTAATAGTTTATTATTTAATGTAATACTCATTTGTACATTATATTTGTAAATACTTTAGTATAAGTACGTTCTATAACAGCGCTAGTGAATCTAACGAGGGCTTTGTCATTGTACAAAATAGAGATCAATATTGAAATTCTGGTGTACTTAAATCCTCCTTTTTAGTGAAAAATACCTACGTATAGGTATTAATGTATTATAGTATTTGCATTACATAATAATGTATGGCACGTGATGTGTATTCGGTGTTGTAGAATAATAGTATAGTGATAATAGTATAATAATTAATAAGTATATTTAAAATATCGCAAGCGCCGAAAAAAAAACCACAAAAACAATATGAATACGTGATAATGTATAACATTGGGTATTATATCATAATTTTGAGAGATTATCTCCTCGAAAAAACGCTGACTCCCGTTTTACAGATGAAATATAAAACCGGAATGGCCACTCCTTTTTATGTTTTACATATTTAATGTACTGTTGCTGCGGCGTAATAAAATATATACCTACATCCTACACGAATACTATTTAGTAGTGATAAAAATATGTTTTGTCTGTCCATAGAAAGAAATGTATTGGTTTTACAATGATATTTATTATTTATTTTTATACTGTGTTCCCAAAGTCTATCTAAAATCTTGTTCCGATTTTCAAGTGTAATACTTTTTGTACTAAAGGAAATTTTATTTGATTGGTATTTTAAGGAGGTCATTTTTAGATTTTCTAGGCAGTTTTTATAATAATTGGGAAAACCCGAGAAAAACGTGAAAAATTACAAAAATAATGCTTTTATTTTATTTTTATTTTTTTTTTTGTAATTCAGTTAAAAATGCTCGTAGAGATTCGAAATTTAAACAGAAAACTTATGTTCGCCTTTTCTAGACGTGGTACATTTTTTAAAACATTTCAGCCATTTTTGAGATATTTTGTCACGTAATTTTTATTCGGTAGGTAGGTACTCCATGAATAAAATTGTTAAACCAAACAGAAATGCTTACAAAAATTTAACAAAAAATATATTATAAGTTATACTTAATGATCAACAAGAAAAAGTTAAGTTTAATGTAGAATTTTTTTTTTGAATTTTAATATCAAATTTTGACGAAAATCGTAAATATAAGTCTTTTAAAACATGTACATAACCGAACTTCGCTCAGAATTGTTTTTTGTTACAGACATACAAATATATATACTAAATTCCCGCCTATATTCCAACTTCTCACCTACAACAGTAGTCCACCCATCATGGGAAGTATGTCTGTTTATTTTTGATTATTTGCATTTATTATTCAGACAATGGCTTTGCTCAATCGTATAATTAAAAACAAATATATTCATTTATATTTCATGAGACTAATAGTTATTGGATACGAACACATTTTATTATTTATCTATTTATTCATTACAATATGGATTTATGTATAGAAAAACACTCAATTTAATACCTAGTTAATATTATGTCTTCTTGAATTGATGAGTCGGCTTGTCTAAACTTTATAATATAGATAATCTAATTTCATTTTCATTAAGTAGTAAATAATAATGGATATTATTTTTGTAAATATATTTATACATATATATATATATATATATATATATATATATATTTATTTATTTGTTAATAATCTATTAAACTTTATTTATTTTGTATTAAAATAATATTTATATAAATTAAATATATTATAAAAAAATAGAAAAAAAATATATTGCCTAAGTGAGTATTAGAGCACTTTTTAGTGGATAATCCCTGTATATCTACTACCTCCTAAGCTGTACAAGTAGACAGACCAAACCTTCCACCTTAACTTTTGGACTTTCTCCAGTTATCCTTCTATAACCAGCGAGAGTGAATATACGTTTCCTAAACTATTATGTAACAAAATGAATAATTCAATTTATTTACTATTTATTTTCTAGTGAACAAAGAAAACTAAAACTTTTCGTGACATATATTATCAATGTAATGATATCCTGTTATTTATTATACGTTTGGTGTTTTACTGATCTTATACGATTTGTGTTCACTGGCGTGACGAATGGGTCAATCGAGAGGCAGTCGTCTCTGAATTTTTTCAAGGAATCTACTTATATGAAAATTGTTTAGAAATGATGACAACCCAGTCTAAAATCTTAATGGATAGTAGCCAACGGGTGTCTCATGGGTTCGTCGGTATAGATAAACGAGTATTGGAATACTTGCCTCTGAAAATATTTGACTTCGCCATGTCACTGTTTGTGTTATTACTCTAATAAACTTTAATGTATTGTTGATTTTAATAATGCGTTTCTTTATAAAATAATTTTTCTTACTTACACTAAAATAAAGAAATTATTTAAAAAACCACAATTTTCCGAAGAAGAATTAAATACAATTAAATAAATTATAAAATCGAATTAAAGGTAAAAATGTCCATGTCAAGTGCAACCATATTGGTTATTTAAATTGTATAGTGCATTATAAATATGAAATTAAAGAGGAATTTTACAATAGTATTCAAATTAGGTATCTAAATATTATTTTTTCCATTAACATTTCTTTTTAATTATTTGTCAATAATTAATCACTGTTCAATTTTAAACATTGACAAATCAGTAGGTAATACAATTTTTTTTTATTAAAACACTGTTATGATATTTTATACTGGGAGTTCTCATTGATGCTGTTTCATAAATCAATCAGCAAATTGACCATTATTAAGTAACCAATTAATTTATCGGTATTTTTAAATGTTTTTAGTTACACACTTAATTTACGTTGTAGTATGTACTTTTTTCAAATCCTAATTTTAATTTTATTTTTTTGTTGTAATATATATAACTGAACTCATGAGAATCATTTTTTATTTGCAATGATTTATTGTTGCTGACAGTTATCCATTTAATTCTTTTTTCTTACCTACCTTCTCAACTTCTCCCTGAAATCAGTGTCTCAGTTATGTGCGAAGTCTGTCCCTTTTTTTTTTATTTTTTATATTCTGAGTGTAGCGAAGAATGTAATGTTATATAAAGATGTTTATTTTTTTTTTTCACGAACACTTTTTCTACCAGAAAGCTTACTCTGATTATCAATTATAACACCTTATCTGAAAGAAAATGGGTGTCTCTAGGTGTTACTTTAGAGAGGTTATTTTTTTGAGGTCATTCTGTTTAATATTCGAGATAACGAGGACAACCTGACTTTTTAGCTTAAAAAAGATTGAAATATTAAAAATAAGGTTGTCATTGGCAACCGTTTTTATTTATTTTAAATCTTTTTTAACTAATCATTGTTGTCATGGAAACGCACATTTTTGTAATCATTTTACCATAATATGACATATTTATTGTTAACAAAACAAAATTTCTTACAGATATACATTAAATTCCCATCTTTCTCCTATTTTTTAACTTCCCACTTACAGCAGTAACTGCACCTATGTGCAAAGTATGTTCGTCCTTTTTTCAAATTAAAATACTATTAATATTTGTTCCAAAATATGATTTTTCCGAGAAAAGTACACTTGATCAAAAATAATGTTTTTTTGCAAAATGAACAAATAAATATATTTTTTATAAAATGTCATTATCCAGAAATAATACTTTTGTTTAAAATTGTTTATATTTTTTCCAAAAGGAAAAGGCTCTTTTTTCAAAAAATGACTTTTTTAAATCTCAAAAAAAAAAGCAATAAAACATTTAAAATAAAAATAAATGAACTTATAAATAAAATAAGAATATTTTTGAGATTTTTTTTTTAATAACCTTAGATGTGTTCTACACAAATTCAAAAATCTATTATACTACTTATTACCACAATGTATAATCATTATAAATTTAGTCAATCGATTCGTTTTAACTCATGAATAATAGATTATTTATATTACAACTGTTACCTATAGATTATGATCAACCATATGATTGAATACGTTAGAATATTAGATACTTTTTAAACCTATTATTGGCAACAATTTATTAAAGAATAAAGACATATTCATTATCAGCTGTGAATCTATAATCCAGAGTGATAACTACTGTTGGTAACCACAATACGTACGATTAATGGTAACTAGCTTACTCTTCAAGCAATCGTGAATAAAATTATTATATCATGGCCTATCAATATCTTTAATGCCTATGCTTTCAAGTTGTAAATTGTAATTGACTCATTAAGTGATAACGTCTTGGAATAATTCAAACTATTCGGAACTATCAAATGATTCGAAATAGTCGGTACTATCGAATAGTTCGAATATGCCGGAGGCCAGACCATCAAATAATTCAAAGAGTACTAAATTCGATAGTGCCTATCACTACTTAAATAATAAATATTAAGTGGATATACCTAATAGATTAAAATACTTAGTACTTATTGCATAGTTCAGCAAACCGATAAATCAGTAAATCGATGGTTCGGTAAACCGATCGATAGGTTGTTAGTTATGCCCACCACTAGTCTCTACTATTGAGCGGCACGTTATTCCATATTCGTTGCATACACGTGTGTAGTGCGTCGTAAGCTTGTCGCGTTTTTTATTAAAAATTAAAACTATAGAATTAAAATATTGTACATTAGATGAATTATGGGACAAAGACTTTCGTTCATTTACATATGATAAAAAATGTAAATAAAAAAACGAAAAGCCTATACTCTATACTTCATTGTATCTATAAAATAAATATTAATTAATTGAAGTTTGAATTTCATCAATATATATACAAATAAAAATATGTTTATACCAAACGTAATATTATACATAAGAAACTATAAAATATATCAATATTTTTTCAGTAGTTAAAATTATTAACTTATGATGAAGTTGAATAATTATTATAATCTAACACAAATATAGGTAATTAACTATACTCAGAATTTTTTTATTCTGGCCTTCCATGGCCGGTCCTAATGCGATTTAGGGTCACCCAAATTTGTCTAGGCAAATCGGAGCCTGGTTGTTTGGAAGTTGGATTGGTAACATTGTTTTATCCATCAGGGCTCTCCACCATCCAATCCTCAAGCCATTTGGCATTTCCCCCGGTGTTTTCCGGTAATAGCATCTCTGCGTTTTTCCAGGGTGGTTTGCGTGACTTAAGTCGCAGTCTATCCACATTTAATCTTACATCAGCGTGTATCCGGAGGCTCTTGTTATTGTTAATTTAAGTCCATTCCCGGATAAGAGCTTGTTCTCTTCGGATCTTAGGAGGAGCTATATTGCTGAGTATTGGGAGCAATTTTATAGAGGTAGTTTTTAATGTCCCCCTATGATTCTCATTGTTGAGTTGAGCTGTGTATCAAGTTTATTGGTATGTGCACTATTTATCCATACTGGGGCGCAGTATTCCGCAGCTGAATATACTAGTGCTAGCGTGCTGATTCGTAGGGTATTTGCATCAGCTCCCCATGACGTACCACTCAATTTGGCAATTATGCTATGATAGGTCTTTATTTTCNCTGATAGTTTAGCTAGATGGTTCTTGAACGTGAGTGCCCTGTCCAGTACCTCACCCAGATACTTGGGGTAAGGGTTGTTTTTCACTAACTGCTCTCCAAACTGTACCCGTATCTCCTGGTTTGCTCTTCTGTTATTTAGATAGAAGAGGGTGACTTCCGTTTTTGATGGATTTGGTTTGAGTCTCCATTAGTTGTAGGACTTATGTAGTATATCAAGGTCTTCAGACAAGATGTTTTCTAAGTCATCAAAATTTTTACTCTGGCAAGCTAAGGCTAGGTCATCAGCATATATACATTTTCTTGCAGTTGTCGCTGGAAGGCCCCTAATATATAGGTTAAAAATAAGAGGTGCCAAGACAGAGCCTTGAGGAAGGCCATTAGCATCTTTATTTTACTTTTTTCTTCTCCAATGTATACAGTGAAAAATCTGTTACAGAGCATGTTGTTGAGAAGTTTTAGTACCGTTTTGCATGGAATCACATTCGAGAATTTTGATAAAAGCCCTTTTCTCCAGACGGTGTCATAGGCAGATGATAGTTCTATGAATGTTAGTGCGGTTTTGACGTTCCTATCATAACCATTTTCTCTATGGGTAGTAAGTGCCATAACCTGATCACAGCAACTTCTATTTGGGCGGAACCCAGTTTGTTCAAGTGGAATAATATCATCAATAAGAACATATAATAATAAAACACATAATAAGAACATTCCAGGCTTCCCGGCTAGAGTGTTTAAAATCTAGACGTTCTACAGTTTCAATCCAATGGTCCTTGCGTCCTTTGGCTAGCGATCCTAAGAGTTTGTTCGGGATTTCTGCTTGGCCATTCCTTTGATATTCTGCATACAATCTGTCGCTTTCCTTATTCCAGCAGGGAATATATTTGTGTCTGTAGCCTCGGGGATGTAACGTTTTGCAGTTCCCTTAACCATGCCGATGAAGCGTTCATAGTCGTTCACTGTTGGGTCGATCCACTTGATGTTATCATCTAGGGATTTTGAAAAGGCAGACCATTAGCTTTCCTAAAGTTCCATCTCGGTTTAGGTATTGTTTTTACTATTTTTAGTATTTGGTAATTTAGAAGGAGTTAGTATGTATTTTGATGATATGATTATAAAAGGAAAATCAAAAGAAGAACAAGACAAGAATTTAAAAGCAATATTTTAATAAAGTATTGGAGTATAATGTACAATTTAATAAAAATAATATGCAATTTAAATCTAATAAAGTAAAATTTATGGGACAAGTATTTACAGAAAACGGTGTGACTACAGATGATCATTATATTAAAGCAATAAAGAATATGATAATACCTAAAAATAAAATAGATTTATTAAGAATATCAGAAATGGCAAAGTTTTTGGCGAAATTCATTCCAAACATGTCGAAAGTTACAGCACCATTAAGAAGACTTACACGATTAGATACAGAGTGAGAGTGGGATTTAAAAGAAGATAGAGCATTAAATAGATTAAAAATAATATTAAATATTTCTCTAATTTTAGCATTTTTTAATGAAAATAAGATCATAGAAATATAAACGGATGCATCAAAGGATGGATTAGGAGCGGTCATGTTGCACGTTATATAGCATTTGCATTAAGGAGCAAAGATATGCACAAATAGAAAAATAATTATTGGCCATATATTTAGTGTAGAGATATTTCATTTGTATATTTATGGACAAAAAAATGTTGCGGCAGCAACAGATCATAAGCCGTTAATTGCAATACATAAGAAACATTTAAATAATGTGTCAGCGAGATTAAAAACAATGCTACTCATTTATGAGTATTATATATTTACTCAGTTATGATATTAATTTAAAATACCTGCCAAAGAAAAATCAGTATATAGCAGATACATTATCAAGAGCATATTTGAAGAATAAAAATATTAAGGAAATAGGCATTGATTGTGTTGTACGTCAAATTGAGGAGTCCCTGCAAATATCAGAAATAGTGAAAGAGAAAATAAAAAAGGAAACACGAGGGGATTCAGTTTTAAGTTCAATAATAAAAAAAAAGCTGATACTGGATATGGGAGTGGCTACTGTTGTAGATGAGAAGTTAGGAACGTAGGATACAAATGGTTATTTCATTTATATCTGTAAGCAATGATAGACCATTGCTTAACTAAAGACGATTCCGAGCGCAGCTCGGTAACACACAATTTGAAGTGCCATATTTTTTTGCGAGTTTGCATTGATCAGCTGTCGGTGTGATCGAGTTGTTCATTGAGCCTTTGAAGTATGATCCTCTCCAAAAGCTTACCTATGGTGTCGAGCATGCACAAGAGTTGAAAGCTAGATAGATCGTCCACTAACTTGCTGGGACCTTTATGGAGAAGCACTAGCCTGGCGCATTTCAATCTGGTTGGAAAGATAAACTCTTTGAGGCCTCGATTGTAGGCCTCGAGGAGAGTCCCCAGAGATCCGTTGGCGATCATTTAAAGTGCCTCGTTTGAAATCCGGTCGAGGCCAGTCGCCTTACCCTTAGGAAGGTGAGCGGCTATCACTCTCAACACATCGATCGTGAGGTCTGGGCATCCCGGGCCTTTTCCCGTCGTTGGGAGGATCTGCAGTGGAGCTGTAATTATCGAGCGGAACTGTTTTCTAATTCATCACTGATCTTGACGGAAATCGAAAGTCCGCTATGTCATTTTCTCGGCCTCTGGTGGCGATGCCCGGTAGTTGCCTGTTGAAACTCTTCGACACTATCTTGTAAGGGACAATAATCTTTAATTAGAGATTCCTAAGTATCTCTTGAGCATGCAGGCATCACAGACGTCGACCAGGTCGTATGGTTTGTTCGAGTACGTTCAGAAAGCCCATGAAGGCTTCTAAACGGGTCGTGGCTGAGCTACTGAGAGTCCAGTAGCAGATGAAGACCCGAGCACCCACGAAGGGGCACCAAGCGAAGCCAAGACCGGAATCCGAGTCTTCAGTCAAGAGGCCTGCATTGTTGGTCAGAGCGACAGAACAAAATCTGTATAAACTTATCGTTTTTAAAAGATCAGCCTGCATATATATTGTTGAAAAAGTCAGTGCCGTAGAGTGGCTAATACCCATACCTATCCAATGGCATTATTTGGTGATGTTTTTGGGGGGGATATTTACCTATTACTCCCCCACCAAAACAAAATATTGTATTTATCATAAACACCTTTTAGTGCAATAAATATACGTGTATAGGCATGAAATAATGCGAATAAAATTGTTATAGTCTTTATTAATCTAGATAAAATAATCAAATGAGCGTCGTCGATCCGTGATAAAATAATACTTAACCGCTGAATGGTTTATTTTTGTACCATAATACAATATATAGGAATATTTGTGCAATACTGCAATAGCGATATCTATGCTGCCTTGCCATAGTGAAAGACAGTATCTACAAAAATGCAAAAATTGAGAAAATGGGTTTTTTTCTTTTTGANGATTTTATACTTTCATGTCTTATAAATGTATTTCATATCTGTTTATGAACTATATATCTTTTCAAAATCTATTATGTGGAAAACCAATTAATTGTATGAACTTTAAAATGTGTTTAATTAAAAAAAACCTACAACTTAATAGTTTTTTGTAGTTCATATTAAAAAAAATTTTTTTTTTTGTTTTTATTTATGTTCATCTGATTCAAAAGAAATAATTTCATTTAAACAAGAAAGTATTGATATAAAAGATGAGCCATTTGAAGCCACTTTTGAACAAAATGAAAGTCTGAGTGGCCAGTTGCCACATCACACAAATAATTGTGTTTCCAGTAAGTTAACATATAAATCAAAAAATTGAATGTTTTATTTTTTAGACTTGTGATTTGAGTTAGAAGTATGAAAAGATTTTATACTTTCATGTCTTATAAATGTATTTCATATCTGTTTATGAACTATATATCTTTTCAAAATCTATTGTGTGGAAACCATTTAAATATATTTATGAACTTTAAAATATGTTTAATTTATAAAAACCTACAACTTAATAGTTTTTTGCAGGTCATATTAAAAAATTTTTTTTTTTTGATTTATGTTTATTTCATTCTAAAGTAATAATTTCATTTAAACAAGAAACTAATGATATAAAAGACGAGCCATCAGAAACCACTTTTGAACAAAATGAATGTTGGAGTGGCCAGGTGCCACATAACACAGATAATTGTGTTTCAAGTAAATTAACATATAAATCAAAAAATACTTTTTGAGATAATTAGTGTCTAATAGTTAATTGATCATCTTGTATTGTTACTGTTACCCGGATATACTCTAGTGTAAAAAAACCTATCCCTGTTTAGCCTATATTTTATAATTTAGTTTATTGTTAAACATATTTTCATAATTAAATTTTAATCACAATTCATAGAAAACTAACTTATATATTATTAATTAAAAAATAGATTATTTTGTTGATTCTTTCTCTCTATAAATGTGTAAATAATATCAAAGTTTAAATATTTGAAATAGATACCATGTCTAGGTAAATCCATTCAAATTTCCAATCAGAACTCAGATTACAAATAGATACCAAACTACACAATATGTTCTCCTAAGTTTTCACAGTAACATACACTATTTATCTAAAATTAAGTGTGGTTACAACCCAAAACACATCTTATTTGAAACATTTTTGATTTTGATTAAATATATAATATTATGAAAACATCAATGAGAAGTGAGTAATCATCAGTCAGTAACTAAAAATTAATATACATATATAATAATTTAATTAAAACTGGCAATATTATCTCATTGTATTATATAAATGTATACTTATGAAAATTATTTTTGAACCTCTATTGATTATTATTATTTAAGTAAAAATAAAGTTCTAGTTAATATTATTCAATACTTGATAAATAATATTATGTATTGATATTTAGTCAATAATTTTATCTACATACATCAAATAGAAAATTAACAAAATTAAGTGCAATTAAATACCAATTTCCAATATATTTCAATAATTCACTTTTTAAATAACAATAATTGTAGAATGTAGATGGTAGTAATAAACTATTTTTATTTTCTGTGCTCCACTTAACTAAATAAATAATATAGAAAATAAAAACGTATACACAATACATATATTATTTTCTCACATAGTTATTATACTTATAGAGTTGTTCTTACAATGGTCTGCTAAGTATTGGTTTGTGGCAAATTTAATCACTGATTATCACTAATGGGATATTTTAAGAATAACCATTAAAATACTTTAACTATTATTTTAATTTCTAAGAATAATTAAAGTTATTATTCAAGCAAATAGTATTCAAACATAATTAATTTTAAATTTAAATAATATTAAGAATATGAACTTAAAAACTTGTGGAAACTAATTTTATAAAACTACAGCTATGTATAATATTTTAATTAAAAAGTTAAATGACTTGGTATACTACTTAATTTATTTAAAGCCTATAAAACCATTTTAAATTAATAATAATATATGTTTGTTGAATATAAATAAAATATAAAGGAAAGTGTTATATTTAAAACAAAATATAATTACCAATTAGTTTTTAAAAAAGTTCTTAAATCTTTAACTAACATACTAATATTATCTATGTAATTTATCTGAATTATATGTACTCAAAATAAACCATAAATATCATTTACATAGATGAATGTTGGCCATTAGCTTCTATGTTGGTTATAGCAGAGAGCAAATCAGGAGGTGTTGAGTATGCAGCTATCTCCAATGGCTCAAACTCTCCATTTTCCATTCTATAAATTCAAAACAATATTAATAATCAATAAATACACAGGTTTGTTTTTAAAAATTTTACCTTAATGCCAATCCAATAGCAGCTGGGTTGTATGCCGGAGCAGTACAGAATCGAATACCACAATCAGCTAAAGATTTTTTATCGTCCATAATCAAACCTTTATAGAACAGTTGTTGATTTTCTGAGGGTACTTTTATAATATCTGAAATTTAAATGTATAATTTATATTTGAAATATAATTTTATTTATTTATTTGTATATTAATTTTTATAGTGATGACACTAACATTGCCAGAGTTACAAATTTTTGTGAAGTACAAAAGTCACCCATTTTATTTAGTTATCTACTTCGAACAATGATGTAAAGAATGTAAAGAAAATGTTGATTACACAAATATAAATATTGTATTGGTGCACTTTTACTATATCAACAGTATTTATTGTGTACAAATAACATACATAAATTATAAATTACTAAACTACAAAATAGCCTTAAGCAAAGATACAAATAGCTAGCCTCTTTTACTACTTAACCAAGCCCCTCAATCAAGTTTTTATCAAGTAAATACTAAATAGAATATATATTAAATATTAAACCCATTGTTAAAACAGCCAAATATTGTTATCCATGCCATAAACCAGAAATTGATAACATGTAATTAGTTCTCTGGCCACTAGAAGCATACATAATATATGGAGTTAAATGTTATATTTGGGCTATTTGGGACATGAGTTATGAATAAATAAAACCTTATTATAAAACCTTATGAATAAATAAAAAAAATTAAAATATTTGACCAACATACGAGCTATTATTGTCTTGAGTTCGAGAACCAAAATAGTTTCTCTGGCATCAGTAAATATAGTTTGCTTCTTATGTTGTATCATCAAATAGGAATTCTAAAAAACATAAAATGTACTTATTTTAGAAACAATGCATCATAAACAATATTCACGTATTGAAACTATCAAGTAGTATATACTTACCATAAAACTCACCATTGTCGAGTTAGTTTACTGAAAAACGAAGACCAAAGATATTACAGATAACTACAAATAGCAGTTCTATGTATAATGAAACAACGTTTAATTTTCAATGCAAAAAAAAAACATTAAAATTTCCACAATATTTTTGACAGATTACGAGGTCAAATAATAACATATAAGGTGTAATAAAACTAAAGTATTACAATCAATATTCTGTTCACAAAAAAGATGGGCTTATCAAAGTTTTTGTATTGGTTACACTGTATTTTTGTGTGCATTTTGATGTCATCATATGATAATTTTTCCGGGTATTTTCAAAAAATAATACACCAAAAACAAAAACTCGTAACTATAATATAATTAACAAAACCTGATAAGTCAAATGTTAAACGTTAGTACCAATTATAATAATAGGTAGGGCTGTGCATTTTTAGGAAAGTGCATTTTTTTTAACTAGTTGTGAAATGTAGCTTTCTATGTATATAATTTGAATTATGTAACAACAAATTTATATGGTATTATAGCATCAGTTTGTGTAGGTTTCCTATAAATACTAAAATTAAATTTATTGTTCATTATGGAAATTGTAAGATCTAAGAAATTTAATTTATTATTTATTATTAGTATTTCGAGTGTAAATTGAATATTTTTATTTATTTTGTTTAAGTAGTTAACTCAATTTTCTGCTTGTCTATTCTAACCTTTAAATAAAATGAAGATGAATTTAATATGCTTTTATATATGGACTGTATATTTTGTTGTTAATAATATTATTGGTTTAATAATTTTGCATGTAAATTTCAGATAAAAAGGTACTTAAAGGAATTCAATTATAATTATTAATAATTCAATTTTAATCATAATTATTTATTAATTTCAGTGATTTTTGTTGACATAAATACTATACAATTATCATACTGTCATATGATTGGTAAGGTTGGTAGAGTTGAATGTTGCCACGTAACAGTATGACGATTTAAATTCCTGAAATGTATAAATTGATAAATTGGAAGTATTGTGTGGATGTTTTTTGTCAGGTTTTAATCCGTGGATTATCGCACGGCCCAATGTCGGGTCGTTATTTCTTGAATAGCTTTTTGTTATGCTTCGAAAACAAATCAGCAATAATATCACAGAATAGATAGATAATATTATTTAATCTATGTTTTAAATCAGTAGCGGGCTGTAAGCAACGATAAACCATTGCTAACAAAAACACGATTCTGAACGTATTTCAATTGATAGTAATGCTTTGTCAACAATATTTATGCCATATTATGGAATATATATCCTACGAACCTTTTCCCGGGTTATCAGTATGATTATCAAATTCCTAAAAGGAACATAAATATTTCCCATTACGTTAACACTGATCCTATCTTTTGAAACCAGCTCGATCACAGGCAACGCATTTGTCGCCCCCGTCCGTGCAGTCGGTTTCTTTGAGATCAGCTATACCACACCTTCGACACGAATCATGCAGATCAAGACCATTTCAGTCCTTGGTCGCATGCCCATATCCATGGCACCTATATTACCTGGTAGGCTCAGGAACTTGAATGCATAGTGTGCACTATACCCAGCCGACGCAAACTCGCTTGATGACGAGAGCCACCGCTCGTGGGATTCCAATAGTGGCTATATACTTCCCGGATTTGAGAGCCCAGATTCCAGTGATTATTACGTCGGCTTTGTTGGAGGCAACTACGGAACCATCGCTGTCTACCGAAACAGCAACTTGGATCGCGCAAAATACTTCATCGACGGTGCAGCTACGTCAAGGTCTAGAACCTTGAAGAAAGCTGTCGGAACCAACCTGGAGACGGTACCGATTTGCGAGCTGAGCTTATCAAAAACCTGTTTGGAGTTTCCAAGGTGCTCTTCTGTGGGGAGGTCCCGACTGTCTGTTCCTGTGACCAACGATGGCGGATCAGGCTGCGTCGTCTGCGGCCGAGTCGCCGAGTGTTGAGATGAAGGGTTTCGGGGGATTATCAACACGTTTGTGGTGTGCGGAAGGCTCCTGGACCGCCCTCTGGTCAGAGACTAGAGCTTTAGTATTTGACATTGTGGGTTGCTTGTCTCTGTCTGTCGATGAACTAGTGTTCTTCTTCTTCTTCTTCTTTAATATGAGTTCGTCTTGATTTGTAGAATGATCGACGTCTATGGTGGACTTGTCGGGCGTTGGCTCTATGATCTGCCCAGCCCGTTCGAGGTCCAAGGCCTCGTTTGCAAAGCACCAGAGCTCACTGAAGAGTCCGAGGGAATCTAATACCTTGCAGAGCGCCGTAACTAAGCGATCGTCGGGGAAGAGTTCCTCTGTTATTTCATCAACTGTCAACCGAGCGGAGACGATGGCCAGTTTGACAGCCACTCTCTGCTTGTCAGCTGGGCCGTCTCACCAAGAGGTAATTGGAGAATTTATAGTGGATGGTTCCGTCTAGGATGACCTATCGGAGACTGGGACCTTGTCTGGGCTGTGAAGTATTCCGTCGGCTTGTTTCTTTGAACACCATTGAGGAGGAGCAAGATTGTGGCGCGGAGCTGTTCATGCGCCTTAAAGATTTTGTAGGTATTGGAGTTGGCCGTAATGAATAGGGAACGGCTCGGTCCAGTGGGCTTCTTTTCGAAGAGGAATTGGATATCCAAGTCGTGTTGGTCGAGGTCCGTGTAGAAGAGGCCCTCCTCTTCTCAGAACGACTCGTAGTTTTTCGGCCTCTTGACCTCTTGATTCTTGTGGGAGGAGAAGAGTCTTCGTCATTATCTTCCGGATGTGACTTCATGCCATTGGTCCGTGGAGCGGCCAGTAGAAGTGAGGTCATGACCTTTTCCAGACTATTTTTTTAATTTTCAGTGCAGCAGTATTTGTCAATAATATTGACCTTGCAACTTTTTTTAATGGATCAACATGTTTTCTTGTTAAAATTATTTCAAGCCGTGAATTCAATAAAATCTTTTTAAAATCCTCGAAAAATCCCATTCTATGCTTCAATGGAATATGTACACAAAAATATCCAGAAACAAAATCTGTATAAACTTATCGTTTTTAAAAGATCAGCCTGCATATATATTGTTGAAAAAGTCAGTGCCGTAGAGTGGCTAATACCCATACCTATCCAATGGCATTATTTGGTGATGTTTTTGGGGGGGATATTTACCTATTACTCCCCCACCAAAACAAAATATTGTATTTATCATAAACACCTTTTAGTGCAATAAATATACGTGTATAGGCATGAAATAATGCGAATAAAATTGTTATAGTCTTTATTAATCTAGATAAAATAATCAAATGAGCGTCGTCGATCCGTGATAAAATAATACTTAACCGCTGAATGGTTTATTTTTGTACCATAATACAATATATAGGAATATTTGTGCAATACTGCAATAGCGATATCTATGCTGCCTTGCCATAGTGAAAGACAGTATCTACAAAAATGCAAAAATTGAGAAAATGGGTTTTTTTCTTTTTGAATTTTTTTGCTTCTTAACAATATTATTCAATGACGGTTTAATCATTATTTGTAGTTATTTACCTCAGAAATTGTTCAGGATAATTTTATTTTTCTTTAATCAAATATTTAAAGTTTATACCTTTTTTAGCAAAATTAAGTAGATACTGCATTTGTGATACTTAAAAATTATTACAACTACAATTTAAAAAGGAGTGTCAGCCAATTCAACCATACATATTATTTTTATTTTTTTAAAAACATAACAACAAATTATAAACATCATAGTTTAACCACGTATGTATTTAATTAATAAAAACTCACTTTTTTTAAATTAGGTTTTATTCTTAGGAACCTAAATAGTTATGAATTTATGATCAAAAAACAAAGTATAAATTGATGTCTATTATGATTAATGGATCATAATTTAGTCTGTGTGTAACATACTATTTAAATATTAATAGTACCTGTTTATGATTCTAAAAATAAAATAAATAATCAATAAATAAATTCTAAAATATAAAACTAGCTAATTCCGACTAATCAAAGTTAGGTACAAATTCATTGAAATATGTTTACTTTATGGAGTTATGGTTTACTTTACTTTTTTCACACTAGTGATAAAGATAAAAATTATTAACCAAACAATTAATCACAGTAATCATCCCGGTATTAAGCATCTTTGAAAGAGATATATCTGCTCGTTAGGAACGCGGTAGCTTACGTTGAAACTATGGGAATGGCATATCCATTCTTTATTATCTATGATTAAAACCTCTACCGCAATACACATTTATACTCTATGATTGAAAACTACACACCAAATTAGTGATAACTGTTTATTTTTATGTATGGTAGTATTGGAATTCAAACTGTTGTTTGTTGACAATTGACATTAATAATTGTCTTGTGACTTGTGTAGTTTTGCGGTTTATTAATTTATTGAATAACAATACCAATTAAATTATGCATTGTTATTGTGATATTTCATTTATAATCAATTCAGTATATTGTTGAACGTTAAATTAGTACAATTTGTATGCTCGTACGTACGTACATTTTGTTTAACTTATATTTACGACTATTATCATTGGTATGATTATTTCACACTGAAAACGTTTGTTAGAAACGGCACACTCGGAACGTTATCACTACACACTATACTACATTATAGGTAGTCATTATAGATATTTACAACCTAAATACTAATTTTTAAATAATTTACATAATCATTTTAAAATTGTCGGCAGAGTAAGTATAGCAAGTACAAATGATTTTGTTATAATAAAATGCACCCGTATCTTTACACTGTCATTGATATAACATCCTAAGTACACACTACAGAAAAAGTATTGTATACAAATTAATATTTTAAATTGTATACATTAAACATTGGGGTCGGCTATATTGAGCAACCTAACTAATCTGAGATAATGGCTATTTGGGCGACCTAAACGCGCTCTATTGGCTATACGACTTAAACATTATCCGGCAACTCTGCATTAGGTACCTAGTACTTACAACTGGCTACCACTAAAAATAAGTAGTCAATTCATTTAATCTACTAATGGATTAGTAGGATACAGGAGAAACTAAAGTAGGTAACAATTGGACACAGGGAATAAGTAATATTTCAGAAATTTTTAAGATTTACGAAACAGTTAAGATACTCAGAAACCATAGAAAAAACTAAGTATTCGAATATATCGGCTCCAACTACACTTAAAAATTGCAAAAATCAGAATTTGAATATATATATGCCAAATTAAACCTAAAAAAAGGGGTGAGTACGCTTAGTGAATCATCCTGTATAAAATAGGATCTCTACTAAAAATTTAATTTACAGTTCACATATGTTTAACACATTACATTAGTTTTTTAATATTTACAGATAAATTAAAAACATTATAAAATTGTAATTAAAAATATAAATAGTTTTAAAACTAGCATTAAAAAAAAAAAAAAAAAAAACAGTTCAATATCTTAAGTTAAATAGTTATATTAATTTAAGTAGTACCAGTAACCCACACAGGATTTTTTTTAGGTGGCTGGCTTGTGCTTTTAATAATTTTCTAGAAAGGAATATAATTATCAGTATAGTACTATCATGTTATTGAATAAATGGTTTTAGATACAATTTAATTATATTTTATTTTGTGGTATAAGATATTATGCTGCTGAATGTAAAACTTGATTTAAAAAAAAATTAGTGATGGAAGACATTTAGGGGGGTACTGATTCTATGACCCTTTTCGGTGTGTGCAACTAGGTAGTAATCATATCCCAAAAATGTTCTCTAAGGTCTATCAAATATTCACACATTATACTGTAAGTTTTTTATATTATCAAGAATAGACATCAGAATATTTTTGATAAGTTCATTTTTTTTTTTTTTTTTTTTTATGATATTCTCCCAATAGGAGTATATTTTTTTTTAATTCATATACATTTGTATAACTAAACCATATTATATTTAGTTGTGATGTGATTATAAATACATATTTACTATACATATACATATACTGTTGGTATCAATTGAAAGGTGAAACAATTGAAGTATACATACAAATTTAACATAATATGATGGATAAAACATTTTGAAATTAAGACTCCCTACTATTTTCAATTTCAACATAACTTATTGAATAATGTTAATGTTAAAAAATAAGTATACGACAAGAAGTCTTAATGGTACTTAATACTGATATATACCTACCTATCACTATTTCTTTTTTCTTGTGTCAGGTGTTGTATTTTTTTTTATATTCCAATAATTTTTCGAAAATAATATACCTACACACATGTATGGCTGTATGTATAGTACCTACAATAATAATTAATGTTAGGTTGAGCTTTTTAGTAGGAAATATCATGGCTATTATCACTATAATAGTATCATACATGGTCTCATATTATGGTATCATTGTTATATTATTATTTTTATATCTTTTCAAAATCTATTGTGTGGAAAACCAATTAATTGTATGAACTTTAAAATGTGTTTAATTAAAAAAAACCTACAACTTAATAGTTTTTTGTAGTTCATATTAAAAAAAATTTTTTTTTTTGTTTTTATTTATGTTCATCTGATTCAAAAGAAATAATTTCATTTAAACAAGAAAGTATTGATATAAAAGATGAGCCATTTGAAGCCACTTTTGAACAAAATGAAAGTCTGAGTGGCCAGTTGCCACATCACACAAATAATTGTGTTTCCAGTAAGTTAACATATAAATCAAAAAATTGAATGTTTTATTTTTTAGACTTGTGATTTGAGTTAGAAGTATGAAAAGATTTTATACTTTCATGTCTTATAAATGTATTTCATATCTGTTTATGAACTATATATCTTTTNTTGTTTGCTTGTCCAGCCGACAATCCATTATTAGCAAGCCGATATTTCAACTATACCTGCTCGAAAGGCGATTTACCGGACATCTTTGAGCACGTGAGCCAGTCCACTCTTGTTAATTACAAAAGAGTATGGCACCTTCCGGACCCGCAGGGATTACCGTCAATTGAACAAGGTAAATTTCTTTGATAAACATTCATACAACAGCTGTTAAACAAAGAAAAAATAAAACAAAAAAAAAGAATAACATATTTATCTAATTTAATTATAACTTTATATAATTAATAGGTAGAAACAATTATATAGACACACTCATTTTCAATTTTAATAAAAACGTTTAAATGTAATTTGTTGTACATGTTAAAATTATTGAAACTAGAAATTCGTTTTGGATTCAAATTACTTATTCGAATTTTCATTTATTAAAATGAAGAAAAGGTGTTGCATTGTTTGTTCAAAACATCCAGTCAAAGAACTAGTGATTTCAATGCATATGTGAGATTTAAACAAAAGGTAGATTCCCATTTTTTATTATTATAAGTTAGGTATAACATTTTTTTATGTTTTACAGTTTTCCTAAAAACATGAAGAAAAGAATGATATGATTAAAATTATGTAATTTGTTGGAAACAGACTATACACCTAATAGTCGTATGTGCTCTCGTCATTTTAATGATCAAGATCTGTATCCACCATCCAAAATAGACAATAGAAGGTTACAAGTACCAGGAGCAGTTCCTAGTTTACTATTATCCTGTAATAAATACAAGTCTGCTGAGGTTGGATAGTTTTTGATTATTCATTAATCCTATTCAATAGAAAAATAAATGTTATAAATTATATTGTTATTTATTGTTTACAGAAATCTTCAAGTAAAATACGCCATAAATTATCCTTAAAAGCCAAAATGTTGGATAATGATAACAAACAACCAAAAATAGTAAGCTGTAGCTCTACTATGCCATTTAATCATTTAGATATGAATGATTCTAGTAAGTGAATTATATTTAATATCATTGAACTATTTTTAAGGAAATTATTAAAGTAAAATTTTAAATTTCATATCATATTTCAGAAAAAATATATGCAATAAAAGCTGTTTAGCTCTATTATTTTAATTGCATAGGAAAATATTTCAGTCTGTATTCCATTGTATAGTAATAACAATAAAATAAATAAAAATTTTAGTAATCTTAAAATATTTTGTCTATTACCTATTTTATCTTTATTTGAATTAACCACTAACTGCACTATCAATATAATATAAATTTACTAATTAAAGTAGTAACTTTTATTTTATATTCAGAACTTTCTCATAATATGTATTTCATATCTGTTTTAGGAACTATAAAACTATGTAAAATCTACTATGTTGAAAACTATTTAAATAACTGTGTGAACTTTAAAATGCGTTTAATTTATAAAAACTTAAATCTTAATAGTTTTTTATAGTACATGTAATAAAAATTTTTTTTTTTTTTTTGATTTATGTTTATTTCATTCTAAAGTAATAATTTCATTTAAACAAGAAACTAATGATATAAAAGACGAGCCATTAGAAGCCACTTTTGAACAAAAAAAAGGTTGGAGTGACCAGTTGCCAATTCACAGAAATAATTGTCTTTCAGGTAAGTTAACATATAAATCAAAAACTTTTATGTATTATTTATTAGACTTGTTGTGATTTTAGTTAGAAGTATGAAGAGATTTTATACTTTCACGTCTTATAAATGTATTTCATATCTGTTTATGAACTATATATCTTTTCAAAATCTATTGTGTGGAAACCATTTAAATAATTGTATAAACTTTAAAATATGTTTAATTTGTAAAAACTTAATACTTAATGGTTTTTTTAGTACATATTATAATGTTTTTTTTTTTTTTTAAATGTTCATTTCATTCAAAAGAAATAATTTCATTTAAACAAGAAACTATTGATATAAAAGATGAGCCATCAGAAACCACTTTTGAACAAAATGAAGGTTGGAGTGGCCAGTTGCCACATCACACAAATAATTGTGTTTCAAGTAAGTTAACATATAAATCAGAAAATTATATGTTTTTTTTATTAGTCTTGTGATTTAGTTAGTAGTATGGAGAGATTTTATGCTTTTATGTCTTATAATTTTATGTTTTTAAATTAAAATTGTTGTTTTATAAGCACATTAATTCAAATATTAGTTTTAATTCCTATTTCTTATCTGATTCTAATCTACCTATCAGTCTTGTCTTAAAACATTTGCTGACTCGTTTTAATTTTTAGGGTGTATACTATATAAATTATATAATGTGTACATCATCATATATATTTGGACTTCTAATGTTTTATGTATCCCTGATTTTTTTGAAGTGTGTTAAATTTTCATAAACCCCCATGTATACATTTTTTAAGTTTATATAGTTTTTATCTGTTCTACTAACTTTGTAATATTGGTATTGATTTAAGAGATTTATTGGTTTTAGTTAGTATTTAAATTATTATTTTGGCTTTTGAACAGATTAAAGTGAAATGTTTTATCTTATCTACAATTTTATGCAAGATTTTTTTTCATCTTGAATTTTGCACTGTAGACAAAATATCCTCTTATCTAAATATACATATCTTAAAACTATTCATTTCAACTAAAATAATCTAGTTAATTAATAATTATTATTTGAGATGTTGTTTTACCTGAATTTCCTGAAACAGAATTAATGAAATCTGAATTTTCTGAAACGGTACCAGTGAAATCAGAATACACTGATTTATCTTATAGTTGTCCATTTTCAAATAGTTTGATATGTAGCAGTAATGATATTTATCATTTGCATAATGAAATACATAACTCAAGTAATTTCTTTAAAAATTACAACATATTGAATGATTTAATCTTTAAAACTACTTAATCAAATATTTTTTATAAATTTAAAAATATTTTGTTTTTGTTTTTTGTATGTTTGATTTATGTGAAGCTGTGGATAATAAATTTGAAATTGTTGATGGTACAGCTGATGACTGTCCACCTATAAATTGTTTTTCAAAAGACAAATCTTGTTCCCTAGTTAAGGATATAAAAATAAAATGCACTTTGTTGCAAGGTATACATAAAACTGAATTAGATCAATGTATTACTAGATTATTGAAGTGTAAAATATTATTTGATATAGATTGTGTCAATAATTATTTTTATTAATATTGCTATATTTTTAAAAAAATACCAAATGAAAATTGTTGAAATTTCAACCTTAAAAATACATTCAATGAAAATATTAATAAATTGTCACCAACTTATTTAAAATGTATAAATAATATCTTTAGTATTCTTGACCATATAAATGTGTATACCACCAAGTAAATTAATTAAAGAAAACTTAGCATTTATAAATATAATTATTCATATCTTGTAAATATAGTGCTAAAAAACACCTGATCAATTTTTCAAAAAGTTCCATTAAGTTTTTATTATAATATTATACAAATTTCCATATTATTGATAATTGATGTTTCTCAACAAATTTAACACAAAATGGGTTTTAATTTAGTTCTATTATTTGAATTAACTTAGCATATATCATTATTATATTAAAACTTTTGTGTTTGTTATAGAAAAACACAAACAGAAGATGTCTTATTTTGCTGATATCAAATCGTCAGACTTAAGTATTCCCATAAAAGCCAAAAGAATTTTTCATAAGACAAAACAGCATATGAAACAACAAAACAACAAGATTAAAAGATTTCGACAGAAGATCCAAAAACTCAATAATCGTCTTAACCTTATAAAATATGAATTAGAGAATTGTAAAACATCCAAATAATGGCCAAATTATTATTATTTATTTATTTATACATGTCTGAGTATACAATATTAGACAGTGGCGTCATTAGTGTTTTAATTCACTCCATAGTATTTGTATTTATTAAATTTAACTAATAACATAACAATACAAGATAAATAGTTAACATATATGTCAATAAGCATCCAAGGCACATTTAATTATAAGTAATTTTTAAGAATTTTAGTTTGTTACAAAAATAGTATTTATGTTTATAAAAATAGAGGTGTTATGGTTTTTCAAAAACATTATAATTGATGAGGGAAAAAATTAAGCCCGCCTCCCCAATTATTATAATATAGCAAAAAATATTTTTATTGTATTTTTTTAAATATTTTCAATTCTTTGTGTAATGTGTAAAATCTACTTTTGTCACCTATATTTATTATATATATATATATATATATACCATTTAAATGGAAACTGTTTAGAATGACCATTTTAAATTTGTATATTATAAGTTATAACCACGAATATAGTTACTATGGATCATAGCAGAATGTTCTTATTAAGCCTGACTAAAAGTCATTTCATATTAGCACTCTCTACAGTCAGTATTATAGAACTCTTTTACCATATTAACATAGTAGATTAGTATTTAGTATAAACAATAACAAATAATAAAATAAAAAATAAATAAATAAATAATTTCTAATATTTTTCATTATTTCTTTAATTTGTTTAAAAAGGTAATAATAGTTAAATGAGGATAAGATTATGTTTAAAAAGTAAATAAGTTATAAATATTGATGTTGTACATTTATTTATTATATTAAAGTAAATGTAGATGAACCACTTATTTAGTTGTTAATTTTGAAATTTTTCTTTCCTTTTATTAGCTTTTTTTATTTTTATTATCTCTACTTTCTAGCATAACTTTGTTGTCTCATACACATTTTTATAATATTACATTGTGCTGTAGAATTAATGCTTTTAATATAATAATAAAATAGCAAGTAATAATTAAATTATATAAATATACTATAAAATATGATTAATTATGTAGTAAACTTGGTAACACATCTTTATTTTATAATCAAGAATATATTATTATTATTGCAATATTATATTATAAACATGCTAAGTATTAGGAGATATTGAAAATCGAGGATATCACATAATATATTGGGGTGCTGGTATAACATGACTTTCGCGACTTAACTGATAAAAACGTTAAGAACCATCATATCCGTGCCACAGATATATAAAACAATAATATTGTTGTTTAATATACCTGTAAACCGTGCTTGTTATGCAACTATAGTATCTATATCCGTAATTATAACCATAATTCAAATAAAGGTTATTGCAGATATTTTCCACTTCATCATTTTTTGATACACGAAAAATAAAATGGCAGCACAAGAGGCCATGTTTTAATTGGCTAATACGAGATCAGAATTGGCGGCAATATTTGTTTATTAGAACTGTTATTTGTAATGTCTGTATTACAAAATTATATAATGTACAAATTGTATGATTGACATTATTTTATCATATTATTTAATTATTCATAATACCCAGGTTAGGTTAGGTTAAGTTGAATATCATATTATGATATAAATTAAAAATATTATCATGTGTTTTGTCATTTGTTGTCAACAAATGATATTTTCAACATTTAATTTATTTATTACGAAAAATGATATTAAAATATACAACACAAAATAGTATAATATATATATTTATTTATTTATTATTCAAAAAAACCTACAGTCAGTCCTATTACAATTAATATATATAATATAATGATATAATAAATTATTATTTATGTATAGATATTTAATTTCGTTGATTAATGATAGTTTATTGTTAAAAATTAGTTTAAAAAATTAATTAGGTAATTAATAAGAAACTGTAACTTTATTTTACATATATATCAAAAAAACGTTCTGCAATATCATTGCACATTTCAATCATGATTTACATAGTTAAATTTATACTTGAAATAATTAAAAACAGAAGAACTAATTTCATATAAAAAAAAAAAATTGTAAAACATGCCTTCAATTACCCTAAATTATATTTTGTAAAAAAAATAAAATCATCCAAATTATCAAATTTATTCCAACAGATGTCAAAATTAAATTTGAACTTTTAAAATGTATGAAGATCTGATCAAGAATTAATTATTTAAATTAAAATCACATAATAATAAATATGAACTTTTTATTCCAATATAATACACAAGGTGATGCATTGATCCATTTTAACAAGAATATTCACAGAAATTTTTAACTTTTATCAAAATTTATTAGCAGCTCTACAATTTTACATTTATAATAGTTCTAAATAATAACAATTAATATTATTTGTCACTCTTATTTTTTGGGATAAAATCACAAATTACTTTTGATTTAAAAATTAAAAATTTTATAAATAAATGGAGTAATAGTTAAAATACATTTTGGTGTTGAGATTTTTATTTTCCGTCTATTTTTTCATATTCTACTTTTAAGTCAAGGTAGAGAGAGAGTAATTGTGCATTTAATCTATCCAATCAAAACTTAAAAATGGAATATTTCGTCAAAGGATTGACAGAAATAAAAAAATTCAACACCAAATTTTATTTTAAACAATACGCAATCTATAATACCTACATTTCTTATATTTTTCCATTTTTTTCAGTTTTTCATATTTGTTAAGAAAACTCCAAAGAAAATTGAAAAACAACCTCTTTAAAGTACCTCCTCAGTTAAATTACTTTTTAGAAAAAATGCTATCATTATAAGTTGGAGCAAAATTGCTGTTAGAAATGTTGTCCACAGAAAAAAAAATTCGTAATATTTTACTATATATTTCGTATATTTTCCCGGTTTTTCTCACTTCTTACATTTTATCGGGGAAACTGCCTGGAAAGTAAAAAAATTGACCTTCCTAATGTACCACCCCAAGAAAATTTCCTTTCGTGAAAAGGATCTATATCGTATACATCGGAGTAAACGTTGTGGTAAAAAGTATTCACATAAAAAAAAAGAAAAAAGCATCTTTGTAAAACCAATTCATTTGTCTAGCTATACTCAGAATCTAAAAATGTCTAAAAATAAATGCTTTTCTTAAAATAAAACTTAAAAAAGCGATAATTGTGTCTTCAACACTCGTCAAATAATAAAAATTGGTAGGTAATTGTTACCGAATTGTGAGGTGCGATACAATCTTTTTCGTCTTTTGAATTTGACTCTAGTATATGACTGTATGTTTTTTTTTTAACCATATTTAACATTATCTTGGCAGAAGCATATAGATATAGGAATATAACTCATTTTCTGAAATAAAGGGAACATTTCTTGTTGAAAAATTTAAGATGTGGTAAATGATGACTCTTCCCGTATTATATTTATAATGGAATAATATTATTCAAATTATAAAAATGGATCCATTATAAAATACATTAATTGTTTTAAGTTATATAACGTGTACACGCTTGTCTACCACAAATAAGAAACAAACATATCGAAAAATACAACTCAAGTGCAATCGTAACGTAAAATATAATAATTATTATCGTATAGATAACGTCATCGTATCGCATAGAGTTTTTACCTATATGAAAATAACATTAAAGATGGACAACTTTATTCTACTGTCGTTAAGTAGGTAACATTCAAAATAAAAATAAAATTAATCTTGATGTATGCAAAATATATGGAAACACGAATGGCCGTATAATGTATCGTGAAAAAAGGTATCTAGTATGTAAAAGGTGACAGCAAGTGCAGGAGCGTCATTTCAACTTTTTGAAAGGCTAACAACAAGGCAGGCCAAACAAATTTTCAACCGACCAATATACATTGTACTATAGTTATTACAAAAAAAATGTTCTCGCTGCACTCTAAACTATATTTTCCAGGATTAATAATTACCAATATTGTATACCAAGTAATAATCCTAAATTAGTATGTACCTAAATTATTTTAATAATTAATCAAATCCTGAAATCTTTAGTCATACATAAATTATTTAATACAAACAAAAATTGTATATATTTCATTAAAATAATAACATAATAATAATTAATAATATATATTATCAAAAATAAATAATTATTGTTACAATCGGTATAGTAGATAGGTATCTTCTGTCGTTTATTTTTGCAAAATTATCAACTGCATCAGTCAAATTTATTTGTTTTCCTTCTTTAGTTTTAACTTCAAGAACCATTAAATCATTTAATCTTTCACCAATTGATGTCCTTAAGAAATTTTTATCCTTTTTAATGAAGAGAAAAAGCATTCATTAGATGCAGTTGTCACTGGTATGTTAGCATTATAGACAATATTTTTGTTGTTTCAGGAAATGCAAATGTTAACTTTAAAACAATATTTAATATTAATTCTAGTTTTAATTGGGACATGTTTTCTATTTTTAATGTTGCCTTAATTGAAGAAAATTCTGATGACATCCTTAAGAGGACGATGTACCCACATCTACTGTCTCAGTCCAACTACCGGGTAACATGCAAAAGCAATGCTTATGCAGAATAAGCAAAACTAGCTTAATTTTAATTTTAGAGTAAAAGTACCTATTATAAAATATATAGAGAACAAATACTTTGGAGGGAATATCATAGGGTTTTGTATTATTCAAAATATACAGTTGGATATAAAAGTTACAAAAACCTTATTTTTTGTTTTTGTTTTTAAATAACTGTAACTTTTTTAATAGTTTATAATTTAAAAAACACTTGTAACATTCTGTCCGAAATATTGTTCTCTATAAATTTCATAATAGGTACTTTTACTCTAAAACTAAAAATGAAGCTAGTTTTACTTATTCAACATAAGCACTGTTTTTGCATGTTACACAGTAGTTGGACTGAGACAATAGATGCGGTTATAACGTTCTCTTAAATAATTAATTTGAAAACATTTGTAGCGGTCTAAGAATTTATTAAAAAACAATTCATTCTGTCAGTTAAGTCATCATTCGTATAGTCAATATGTCAAAAATGTGTTAATTTTTTGAACAATGTTCGTCTAACTGCGCTACAATCCTAAAAAATAACACATACTTTTATGAATTAATTATTTTAATGCAATTTTAAATTAGTTGTATAATAAATACCTATCAAACACTTGATACAACAGTTATACACTTTTATATTTGAAATATCTTTTTCTTTATTTCTACCTTTTCCCAAAATTGTTTGTACTAAATTAAATAATCATTAAAATGTTTATTGAAAGTCTGATTTTGAATTTTTATTCTATTACAGAATGCTATATCAGTTTCTTTTTGATGAAATTTCAATCACCAATCTTCACAGTGCAACTTTATATTATTCCTTGAAGATGTTACTAACACTATGGCCTTGGATAGAATAATATTTGAATTTTGAAGTTCACATGATAAACAGTGTATACATTCTAGGACACTAACCATTACCTCCAAAATCATTATAAATTTATAAGTAGATACTTTTTTAAGTAATCTAATTACTCTTATTGTTTAGAGTATTAGAGTTGATACACTGCACATGTGTTAGTGTTCCAAAAACTCAATGCAACATAACTTACATACCTACTATAGCGTTGGCCATAGTTGCCGGTGCTTTAGAGTTTAGACCAATTATAAATACATAAAAAAACATATTTGCTCGGTGCAGAAAAATCATAGTCTTGCCAAAATGTGATCCTGATGAATTTTAGGTATGCATAAACATATCATGCAATACCTAAAATGACACTTCTGAACAAAGGCCAATAAAAAGGTTGTGGGCTCAAATGTGCCAATCAGATCTGTGCTTGAATCCCTTGGCACTCATAGCACACCAGTAGATTTGACTATGGGTATGCAGTTGTTTATACGAAAAATTAATAAATTACTTTTTAGAAATTACTTAAATTTTATCTAAATATTAATAAAGTTGAAATTATTTATTACAACAATAATTGAACACATTGTTTTCTAATGTTCTATTTATTTTTAAAAACTAGTTAGATAAAAATGTATTATAAAAAGTAATTTATGACGATAATTTTTAGGTTTTCAACTAGTTGGAGCAAAACTATTAGTATACAGAAATACCCAAAGGTTGTGCACAGAAAAAAAAAAAAGAGGCCGTAATATATTTTAACTAATACCTAAATTTCTTATATTTTTTTTAAATTTTATGAGAAAACTTTTGAAAAAATCGAAAAATGACTTCCTTAAAGTACTTTCTCACGTCAATTTTCTTTCAAAAAATGTGCTTCACTTATAAATTTAAACAAGTTTTCTAATAGAAAAGTTGTAAACAAATAAAAAAATAAACATCTTTATAAAGCCATAATCTTCTTTGCTCTACTCAGATTCTAAAATATATTTAAGTTAAATAAATAATGACACATTTTAATATTATTCAGAAAAAATAATAAGTAGGTACCTACTTATGAATATTTTATAAGTTAAAATTCAAAAGTACTCAAAATCATTATTAAATATTATTTTGCCATGCTTAAAATTATGCAGTGTTCTTTTCCACAAATTATAGCATATGTAATTTTATCCACTCAATTATTAAGTAATCGTTAATAACAGCAACTATTATAATATTATACAATTATATTTATAGTAGGTTAACTTTATTATCTTGTATAACTTTGATAACCTATAGTATAATTTGACCAGTTATTTAGATTATAATAACAAATACAAAATAAAGGATGGGAAGTGAACAACAAAAATAACCAATATATTATTTATCTAAGCAGTCTAAACTCTATTACACAACATTTCATAACGTATAAAAATCAAAGTAATGATAATAATAATTTTCTGTTTAAAAATAAACATAACCAAGAAAAGTTATGTTACTAGGTACAGTATTTACAAACAATATCAAGGGATGCAGTCAAAACTTTGCAGAAAAAAAAAATTACAACACAAACAGTAAGTACACAAGTACAAGTAACAATCATAAATTTTGATAAGTACATATTATAATTATAATAAAATAGAATCACCATTAACACAATATGACATATTTCTAAATCTACATTTAAGTAGGTACAACATTGTTAAAATTAAAAAACTTTGAATAACAATTACTGAGCAATGTTATAGGAATTATAATATAATGGTAGGAGACATACAATATAATATTATGGAAGACGAGTTGATCTACACAGTACAAACTTTATACTGTGTATAATATAATTGATTAACATGCCGAGATTCAAAATGGGGCGAAATTTCTTTGTACTGACTCAATGGGATCATGTACTATGTGATTGTCTCGAAACCGTAGCTGGCCAACCATTGGCGACACTACAGTATATGATGATGTGATGATAAGTATAATTTAAGAAGGATAATATTCAATATTTGTGGTGGTTAATAGCAACAATAATAAATATAGGAATAAATCAGGACGGAGCTACACAAACCATAATATTACGATCACAGTCCGTAGCCGGACAGGAGCGTCGTGGTCCGCTCGACGGTCCAGAACATAATGGCGGACGCTGGAACGGTACGTAGGAGCGTTGGCGCCAGGCCGCGATACAGGGCCAGCGGGCCTTCGTTACGCACCGACTGAACTAACGTTTTCAGGAAACTACCATTGACAGAAGTATCGGCACCGCCGCCGCCGCCAGAGGCCTGAATGCGCGACTTGATAGCGTCTACAGGATACACAAACAGCCAGAGACCAATGCCGGCTGCCGCGCCGGCCACCATCGTCACCCAAGACGGATCCGCCGCGTTGCCGCCATGGCCAGCGCTCGCCGCTACAGCCTTTGTTTTCATTGCAGTAGTGCCCGCCGTCCCGTGGTGCCATTCATTTAAGAAAGTGCGACTAGCCTCGTACGCCAGGAAAAATACGTAATAGCCGGGCATTTCGCGGGCCACTGTCGATCCCATTCCGCGATACATGCCCCGCAATCCACCCTCGGTCTTCCACACGCGGGCGACCACCTGCAGGGCACTGCTGGCGGGTATTGGGCTCTTGCCAGACGCCGCACCGTTAGACCTCTCCAGATCGGCCGCCTGCAACCGGACTTTTATCAATTCGGTGGGGCACAGTGCGAACGCGGAGCAAAATGACGCCAAGCTACCAGCCGTGGCCATACCGGCGGGCCCCAACTTTTTTTCCACATCGACTCCGCCACTGCCGTCGAACAGTCCTATGGTAAACGCCACCAAACGCTGGCACGGACCGTACGCCGCGAACAGTACACCGTTTTCAGCAACGTTGGCCATCAGTGCGGGGGCCGTGCCGGCATACATGAGCCGCGTCATCCGGCGGGCGGCGGCAATTTTGCCGACGCTCCCGGCGGTCGCGTACGGCAAAGAGCATGCCCCGACATGCAACCCACCGCCAACTAAGGCGGTCGTGTTATTCGGCCGACCGTGTTGGGACGCAGGAGCCACGGACGCTTGGCGCCACATATCACGAACGCAACCCCACATGGACACGCTACTGGACGAACTCGTGTGCGTGGCCGTCGAAAGTTGCATACGCACCTTCACCGTGTCCAACGGTTGACCCACGTACACCAGGGCCACGGCACCCGCGCATCCGCTGACCAGACCGACTAGTGGCGACGTTGTCGTCATCGTCGTCGTCGTATCGACCACGTCCGCTATTTGTGGCATTTCCCCGTGCGCGGTTTTACGCGTCACCGCGAATTGATGTCGATTGTCCGCTGCGGCTTCCGTGAACTCCATTTGTCGCCGTCTGTCCGCTCGGCCAAACAATTCTGCCAGTCAACGGGTCTTCCACGTTAGGTTGGCGTACACAGCACGAGAAGTCGCCGGGCACTGATTCGCAAAACCGTTTACTGGTTATAATTTAAACGGTCCCTAAACGATTAACAACGAACATCGATAATTATAAATAAGTATTATTATTTTATTACCTACATAAGATTATCATTATTATTTTTTTTTTTTATTTTTTTTTTTTTTTTTTCTAACAAAATTGGGTAGATTATTATTGTTGAGTTATTAAGTTCGTGGGCGTGTTTGCATCGTGACCAACAGTAATTTTAAATCGAGTGTGCTTACTAAAGGTTACAAGGCATTATACAATACAATCATTATCGCGCGTAGCGGCGGTGCAATTATAAAAAAATTGTTTCGTATTGTATTCGTTTACTCACACGTTCGTCGGTCGTGGTCGACCGGAGGGTGACACGGGATCCGCGGCGGAGTTTATCGCGTGATCAGCCGATGATGCAACAACAACGATCGATTTATTACTTAATAACATACATATTAATATCGTAATCGGACGGCCGATAATAAGTAGGTAGGTGCTACAACAATATTTCAGGGTTTCTGCCGGTTGTGCAACGACGATGACATCATGGCATGGACACGGGCACTCGCCATGCCGCAGCGAATCGCGAACACATTGCGCCGGTGTGCGGCCGAACAGCGGAAACAAGAGTTGTTTTGATTCCGCTGAAAACGGGCAGACGTAGTAAAACGGCGACGGCCAGCAGCTGATAACGATTGCTATTTTTTTTTTTTTTTTTTGCTTTTATCTTTTTTCGTCATTTGGTCCTGTCGTGTGGTACATGTGTAGCGCTCGTGACTAGGTACATGACAGCCACAACCACAGACGCAACACACAATAAGATATTGTATGTAGGTGTATATATACACATATATGTAGACATGTGAGTACACAATTATAAACACTATAAACCGATAATTATTAATAATACTACTTAGATACTGTAGTACTCGAATAAATACTATTAAACCACAATTATGGAGTACTAGCACAGTGGTACTATGGTATCCTGTTACTATCCGAAAAATTTTGGGAACCTCTGGTTTTTGGTTTTATCACAAATTAACAAAATATTAGATAAGAGTTTTATGTACATTAATATTGTCGTTATGTATTCAACGATAAAACTTAATAATTAATTATAATTAGGTATGATTTTAAACATTTAAAGCGTTTAGGTATTTTTAATATTTTAAATGGACTGTTACAGATAAAAAAAAAAAAAAAAAACGATAGTTGAATTTAACGATAGGTTTTAATTTCGGTCGAATAGTTTTCATCCTCATATTTTTTTTTAAAAATGGTAAGTAAATTATATTTTTATTTTCGATTATTTGCGTACTAATAGATTCTTTTAAACCATAGGCCATTACTCGAAGTGGTCGGAGGTACCACAGTTTGTGTTTCAAATACAAAAAACACTCGGATGTGAAAATTTGCTTAGCTGGTATATTATTTTCATTCCAGGATATATCTACCTAGTCGTCATAAAAAATGATCATTTAGATAATTGAGAGAACACAATTTTATTATATTTAAAATGATTTGTTTTGTTGTATGTGTTACAGTTAAAACTCGAAAAGTTTTGACTAGTTAAAATTAGAATTAACTACAGATTTAAATAAGTCAGTCAAAACTAATTTTTACTGAAACTCATGTACTTCAACCTGCACTACCTAAAACGCACGTAATTACATGCAATCTATAAATATTGCTCTATAAATTCAACTGGCCGGCTATCAATTCAATTAAGATAACTTTAACCAGTCATCCATTGAATCACTTTTAAATATGCTAACTTCGACCAATTATATTTAATAGATAATAATTTGCTGTAGCTTTTGTCCCAGTGTTTTCAGCTTTGCCAATTTGTTTGTCTTCGTTGTAGTTGTTGTCTCTACGTGTGTGTATTTGTCACGCGCAACTAGTTTAAGCTATCAAAATAAAAATTAAGTTAATAAAGTTTTTTATGATAGATAATTCTAGTTTTCACCAATATATTTCAGACACAAGTAGTTCTAACTGAACAATAAAAAGTTAAATCTAGTTTATCAGTGAAGGTCTTAGTTAATTCTAGTTTTAACTAATAAAAACTAGAATTGACTAAAGGGATTTGTGGAAACTATTTTTCACTAGATAAAACTAGTTTTGAGGGATTTAAAGTTTTAACTTTAACATATATATGTAACAAATTGAAATTGATTCCATTAAAAACAGTCAATTAAATCTATCAGCTCTGTTATTAATTGTCGTTAATTCTATTAAATAAATGTTGAATGTTGATATATCAATTTATACAAAACAATGGTTCTAATAATTCTACAATAGCAATGTCTAAACCAAACAAACAATTAGAAAATAAATGTGATATGCATCTCTAAAAAATTCTTCTTGCACAGTACCTAACCAAGAAAATGAAAAAATGAATAAAAATAAAATCGGTCTACATTAAAGTTTAAGCATTCGGATAAATGTGTATTTACACGCAATGGTTTGGCGATTAATGAAATAGAAACTCCCAATTATTATTCCATCATAGCCATCCAAGGTTAGTTAATTAATTTATGTTTATAATAGGTAAGTACTTATCATTAGTATTTAAGTATTTTGTTTTGTTTGCATACAAATAAAAATCCATTTAGAAGATTCAAAATTGTTGTTGATTGGTGAAATAGAAATATAGTTTAAAATACAATAGATCTTATTTGAAGCCAAGATACTCAAAATTCATATAAAATATTGTATATTAGTACAAGATTATTTTTTTTTTTTTTTTACATAGAAAAAAAATGCATGAAATGAAAAGTTGCTGTCATCCAGAATAAGAAGCTTGGCAAAAAAGTATAATAATTTTTTTCATTAAATGTTTGAAATATTTGTATTGTTTATGCTATTTTAAAGTTTAACAAAAATATGTATGATTGTATCTTGTCATGAAAAACACCACTACAAGATATTCAAAAATTGGCTACAATAACTGGTAATCATAACCAAGTGAACACTAATATGTATTTTTTTTTTTATTTTTTTTTTGGTTTTTAGACAGACATCTAATAAGTGCCATTTATAATGATCATTGTTGTGATTTTAACTCCCTACTGTTATTGTTGTTACTACATATTATCAACTGCTATCAAAAAATGATTCTTGACTCAAAAGATTTCGGTATCCAATTCTACTACCGAAAAAATTACATTAAGTTTTAGTTTTACTTACTTGACTTATTTTTTAAAAAAAATTTCTTGAAATACCTTAAATCCTTTAAGTAAATATACTATTTTTTTACTCAAAAACATCAGAATTAACATTTAATTTAGTAGAAACTAAAATGTTTAATTCAGACACCTTAAATATATTTATTACTCAGACTAAATAAACAAGCATGTAAGAAAAATTGTTCTGTGCATATAAAAGACTTGAAGTAAATGACAAAAACATGATAAAAGTCATTATTTGATAAAAATAGGTTTGTTTCAATTAATTAATCTTGATTGGTTTTCATTAATGAAACCATCAGTGGTTTGTTTTCATCGTAAGTTATTTAACAGTTTCTTCCAAATATGGGATAGAGCAATGGTGAACTGAACTTAAATTTTAAGTGACAATTTCATATTTAGTTTTCTACTATTAGGTGTGTGTACAAAGGGGGTTTAAGGGTTCACTCCCCCTTCAAAATTTCATGAAAATTATGAAAGTAGATATTTAATAGTCTAAAAAGTGGTCTCTGTCAACGAGGAAGATAAATACAATTTTGGTCATATTTATTTTATTTATTTGATAGTAGGTATATATTGTTATTACTGTCATTTCTAGTTTTTTGTGGTTCTCCTTTTTTTAGAAAATTATAACTGATACAATATTCTATAGTCGGCATTATAATCACAATAATATGAATTATATTATCATTTAGGCTGTATTCACTAAAAAAATATTAAATGTAAAAAAGCTAATAATAAATATTATTAAATATTGACACTTTTAATAAAAATAAATAATCCTACAATTAAAAGTATGTAAACTACTTTGTTATAAGAGTATAAAAGTATACAACCTTAACCCCTTTCTTAAATACATCTAATCTTAATTATAGACCATTTAGTTATGCCTCAACTTCCCCCCTTTTAGTTTTAAAATAACTCAGTATCATTATACCAATTTAATAAAATATTACTTACTACCTATTTTCTATTAAAGATTCCTTTTACACAATTTTTTAAGTAACCAATAAGTATCTAAATTTTAAATTAAAACTTGTGTAAGTACTAATTACAATGCTTACAATACTATTGTCTATAATAGTATTCAATATTTGAATAATATATATATAATTGTTACAATAATTTAAAACCATCGAAGAAATTTCATGCTAATAACAATGTAGAACAATTATCAAAGTAAAATATATTGAATATACATTATATATTACTAATTTATTATATCCAATTAACAATAAATTTTATTTAAAATACTAAAAATTACTAAAAATCTTAAAAGTAAATAAAAATTTGAAACTACTTACTGTTCAATCTAAATATTGCAAACATTATTACTATTATTGGATTTATTTTTTAAACATTAGTTAAAATACAACGAGTAATTATTTGATTATTAAATCATTTAAATAAAATGACAATAGGTATTTAAACAAGTACATGTTCTGTACAGCAATCTTATTAACTATATAAAAAATATAATGCATACTTTTATAGCCCAGCTTAATTATAAGCTGTTTTAGTTAAAAGTGAAGTGGCATTAGTATTTTTTAGATGACTTATATTACAAATAAAAAAGGCAGAATAATTGTACTATAATATTTAAATAAAAAGCACAAATGTATATAAGATGTGTACTTAATTTTTAAATTGGAAAAAATATAATCATTATATAAAATGGTCAAGTTAAGTTTAGGTTTATTAAATATAAATTTGAATATTTGATTTAAGAGTTTTAACTTTTTTAAGTTGTTTCTGGCTTACATTATATACAAATAAAATGAAATTTAATAAGAAGTTAGGGATTTATAAAACAATAATCTTAGGACTGTTAAATATATATTTAAGAAATTAGAATACAAAGAAAATGAAACAAGTTAACATACTTTGCATGTAGTAGGTAATAAATATATTCCTAACATCAATATTTAAATATAGATCATAATATAAGGCGAACAATTATTTATGTTTTTTTAGTCGGTTACATTTATATAATTGTATTCTAATTGTATATTATATCTTTACGCAGAAAAATACATTAACAACCTTTTCATTAATATTAGACATATCACTCAAGGTTTGTTTTAAGGAAATTGTTTCCATAATTTTTAAAATGGTAAAAATAATTTTGACTCAATAGGTAAGGTATTTTTATAGTTGAAAAGTTTGTAAATTTACAATAATTGTTACATGTGCACATTTTTTTGTTGATCCACTTTCATCTACACCTAAAAACGTTAATAAAATTGTCCTTTTAATTTTTAATATTTATTTTCACTGGGTTTGTTCTAGTTGTAGTTGGTAAAATAAAATGTCCACTTTAGGCATCAGTTAATGAAACACATCTAATTAATAAACAAATAAAAAACAGTCTACATAGAGCATTTTCTTGGTTAATCATAGGTATATATGTACATGATATTGTTTGATTGTAAGTTAACACAATTATAAAATCGTGTTAACGAATCGAATTCAATCCATACATTCAATAAGTAGTTCTCTGTACCTACCTATTCATAAATTATACTCGCGACTCGAATACTGTATAAAAATTGCATAGTCTTTACAATGTTATAATTTTTTTTCGCCAATTCATTTAAAATTGATGAGGATAACCCGTAAAAATAAATGTGATATATCTGTTTAGTTAGATTAAAATGTACATGTCTCTTTATTTGTATTTTGTACACATATTTTTTATGACTGAATTCAATTTATAAGCATTCAGTGTAGGTACGTAATATGCGCTATAGCAGGTTAGGTACCTAGTCAGCTTTTATCAATGTTTGTAGGTACCTACCTACCTTGGATATAATATGATTACACGTCATAATTTTGTATAATTCAACTTTTTTCATTGCTTAAAACAATTTAGAGCGTAGATTTAAGACACATTTGGACAAACACTTGGCATCATGACCAGTTTGATTAAATAAGTCCCAAACTCGTTCTACGGTTGAACCATCAACTGTGAGTAGTATCGATAAATACGGTGAACATTTAAAAGTGGTTAGATACGTTCGTGGTTTCATCGAGTAGGTATTATAGAAATCAAATAGACTATATAAATTTCCGTTCTATAAGTTGACCTTGACAAACTGTATGCTGAACGCGTATAAGAACAGTCTAAAATACAATTTCTAATTATTTTTTTATTTTTCTGTCTTCACATTCCATCATTCTTACACTTATTCCATTCAATCTCGGTTTTGGCTCACTTAGGTACCTTCCGTTTTTAATCATTATCTGTTGCTTCACTGTAACAAATACATCACATTTATCTTTGTGAGAAAACTAGCCTAATTTTGTTGAGACATTCTATTTTGAATTAATTAATATATTTTAATAACATACAGACGGTTTTTGTACTGAAGAATATTAAATCTGCACTGGTTTTAAAATCAAATTAAAACCGAACAGACAACTACAGAAACGAATGCCAGTCGATTAGGTACCAGTAATAACCTACAATAGCTGGATAAGTTACTATAATTTTTTTTTTATCGTGAGTAAATCTAGTACATTTTTTGGGTGAGATATAGTGTAGATAGTTGATATGATGACATGGATGCTCGTAAACTACGAGCATCCTTTTAGAAGGTAATAGTATTTGAAAAATGTACGTATGCGTAAAATGAGTACTATTAAGTCAATATTCTAGTAATCTAGTTAGATAAAATAGAAAAATAATTAGGTTAAAAACGAAATATTTGGTAGGTACATAGAACTAACCTTTACAATAGGTTACAAAACCCGTGACAATCGCAGAGAAATTTTTAAAGATAAAATATACACTGTAAAGGTAATAATGTTTCACTGGTTGTTTCTAAATATCGACTATCTTAAATGCCTCTCTATAGTAACTCTCTAAATATCAACTTTCTTCATCGGCCGTTCTGAGAATATTTTTTAATTTATAAAATTAAATACCTACTAAACAAATTTATTCTAAAATGGACATAAAATATTAAATAATAATTTTTATTTTTCAATTTGTACTGTTTTTACTAATGAATTCTGTCTATTGTATATTTTACTCTTATATATAGCATCAGGCCATCATTACTGTAAAGTGTAAACTGATATTTGTTTGTTTGAAACTTTAAAAGACATTATAGACAAGAAGTGACCCAAAATAATCTTACGAAAATACGTATACATTATATTATTCCGGAACTTATTAGATTTTTAACTACCTAATTTGTATTTGCGTCAAGTTGTGTCTATAACGAACATATTGTTTTTTTTCCGTAAAGTTTACCCCGTTACTGGTAACGTTGTTATATTTTATTATTTGGTCCGCGGTTTAAAAATTAGGTAACTGAAATTGGCGACAATAATTATTCTGACAGTGACAGTAATTCAGATTCAAAATAATAACATTTATTATAATATTATTAAATTATATAATTATTAATGTAAAGCCGAAAACTAAAATAAAATAATTAAGGTAAGTTAAGCTATAGTTTCGGCCTAATTCATCTTCAGATTATACACATATAATATAAAAAACTTTCTATATACAATTAAAATGAAAAAAAAAACCAATAAACATAATACATAAAGATAAAATATACAATATTATTTTATTATACTTTTTGGCTTTGGAATAATAATTCTATTATTTAATAATATATTAATTAAGTATACAATTTATATTTATTGTTTATTATGATACCCTTACAAATAATAATAATAATAATAATAATAGTAGGTAATGATAAAGAATAAGTAATTATTTAATTGCCTACAATAGTATTGCAATAGCTAGTGAAAATAAAAATCCTTTCCTTATAGATACTTATATTCAATGAAAACTATACTCAAACTACATAAGTTTCGAGTATAGCAGTTACTGGGTACACATACTATTTTGAGTAAGTGGATGTTCCCGACAATTCGGAATTGGGCTAGTCGGATAGAACGGGTATAAACATTCAAAAGGTGTACTTTTTAGGGCTAGATAGTATATATTTATTTGGGTAAAAGTTTTTGAGGCGGATGGTAGTTTTGAATTTCAAATTCTGCTACCTACATTTTAAAAATATAGTGTGGGCACCACTGTCAATAGTGGTTAAATACATTAAATATTGTGTATCTCTACATTTTGGAAAATAACGTTAGAAACAAATAATATTATTATGAATAAAATAATTTTGTTCAGCTAAAATTTCATTTCTGACCACTGTACGCCGCTGCCGTTTGCATATACACACGACACTGCGCAAGTATATTCGAAGGACAAAGAGATCAATAATGGATGTAGAAACGATCTAATCGTTTGCGCAACTGCGAGGGAGCGACAATGCAAAGCTTTTTTATCGCCAAAATTGAGTTGTACAATAATCATGACAGTAAAAACGCCGGAGAATCGAATGACGATTCAATGCGCACACTACCTTTATTTTCCGTGTTAAGTAATCTTAAAGTTTCACGATTTCTTTACTTTCTATTTCCACCGTCAAAATTATATCAAAAATAACCTACGTTAAATCTCATCAAAATGTGCTATTTTTCAACTTGTTTTTTGATGACAGTTTACTGCAGTTTCCAGACTGAAGCCATCTACACGAAATAAATTATTTACACACCCATCCGCAGTGTCACTTATTGTTTGAGTTATTAACTATTATGGAATTACGTAGGTCCAGTAGTCAGAATTTAGCAATATGGAAAGTTTAGTGGGGTGTAAGAGGATTTAGTGGTCTACAACCTTCTTGACTTTATCTATAGTTAAAAAAAAGAAAGCAGGGGGGGGGTACAACACCCAAAACCTCCCTGACTACACTGCATAAGTACCTCCATATATTATAAGACCTTATATAACATAAATTTTATTAAATTTAAATTTATTAAAGTAATAAAAATAATACATATATATATATATATATATATATATTTGAAAAAATGCTTAAATTTTTTAATTTTCTCAATTATTAAGAAAACATCATGAAAAATAAAAAACATGACCTCAATGCACCGACTCAGAACCGGTGGCATTAGCAAAAATCGATGGAAGAATGTGATTAAATATTTATTAACTCGACTACTCCATGCTTATATCAAATTTACCAACTTCAATAAATGGTTTCGCTTACTATTTTGTCCTTTGATAGTAATAAATTTGACGATAATAAAATATAACCATATTGGTAACGACAACAACGTATTAACATACTCGAA